GGCAACACGAGCAAAAGGACCGTCACATGGAGTAGAATTTTTTGTTTTTTTTTAAATGCCTATTATTTTTAAAATATGCCACATAGATTTTTTTCTATATTTTTCTGATAACCAGCACAACTTGCCTCAACACCCAGTTCCGGCTTGACGTTACATTACGGGACACCCTGTATACGTAGAACGTAGATAAATAGAACTACGTAATAAAGTATAGTTTTTGAGATCGAGCAGCTTCGCACTTGAAACTAAACCTTTTTGGGAAATCAGGAATCAGTACATTATTTCATGTGATAACCTTCCAGTGAGTACTTTCTGAGCCTTCACTTAAACTATTTAAATTCACTAAACTTAGCTAAAAAATAAAACTTATTTATTTCAAACCTTTTGCATTTCAGTCCACAGCATAGAGGAATTAACGGTCCACAGGCGTACATTTCTGAACGAAAATGGTTTTCATCACAGATATGGATTGTTTTCATGGTGTCACTTTGACAGCTGATATCTGTCAAAAAAGACAAGTTAGAACAAAAATAAACAGTGCATTTATAAGGAATATAATAAATTAATTAAAATAAATGAACTTGATCTAGTAATATACGTGTGATCAATAAAAAATAGGCTCTATGGCGCTCTTGATATAAAAAATCTATGCATTGGACTAAATGTTAGTTTTTACTTTGAAAATCGCACGTGGGGAAGACACGTTTTTAAATTGATTTTCGAAGCAATTATTATTTATTGAATGTTGATAATCGGTGCTAATTTCAAGTCTATTACTTACTTCAGTATGGACTTATAAAATAGATCAATTACCGATATTATTTAAATTATAACCTAAAAATTATAGACTCAATACTCAATACTCAATAAGTTTATTGCTTCGGTAACTTGTGTTCAGTTCATAATATACTTAATAACAAACACAAATTATCTTTAAAAACAGAACCACCATGGTAGAAGCTGAAATGTAAGTACCTATTATGATGATAAAATTAGTCTAGAAAGAAATAAAATATAATACAAAGTTTCATCATCCATCCTTTAGTTTTTATAAAGTTTAACAAGCAACCAAATCTTTTCTTTATATCATGGGTTTCTTCCTTGATGTGTTTTAGTATGGAGAAGCCGTCACCTAAGAAAACTGTAACAAGAAAGAGGAAGAAGAAGACAAAATCTCCCTTAGAAGAAAAGACCATGAAACTGGACGTGATTTCCGAGCCAGTGGTGCTTACAAAGCATAATGCAGGTACTGTGAAACTAGCAAAAATTATTGAGGATTGAATAAACAAGCAATGGACGGCCTACGGCTGAGATGATGATGATGATGAAAAGCATAACAATCATAGTCTGAAAAGTGTAGATATAGTACATTGTTCAAAATTGTACATTTTGTACTCAGTACTCAATACTTGATAAGTACTCAATAAGCCAAAATGACAATGTTAATAGAGTTGGTACTTTAGAGATAGGAATCTGGGTGTATCTTTGTCCTCATCACCTCTAAAAATCAAACAACATTGTCACATCTTATGTGCCTGCTTATGATGATTATGGCATTCTTCTAGCTAAAACATTACAATGAAATGTACAATTAATTAAAGTTTAAGAATTTAATTTAATTAACATCTTAATTGTAAATTGTACCTAATCTTTGCAAATAATACTTTAAGTTTGACTTTACCATTAATTTCCACAGGAGTACAGAAAACAGAATGCCCCAAAGTGATGTTCGAAGGCCTGTCAATGGATGAGATTGGCGAGAGGTATCCAGTGCTGAAGAACGAAGAGTTGGTGCAACGGTTCTTGAATGTACCCATGAATAACAATCAGAAAGGTATGTTTTCTCTATACTCTTAATTACCTATTAATCTAAATTTTTTTTTTTTTTTTTGCGCTCATCTGCAATCAGTCCCAAACTATAAGCAGATTTGTTCCATGCAGTTTTGACATGTTGAAGGAGCTCCCCAGCAGGATACTCCTCATTCACCATCTGTCACCAAGTATATCGTGGCGCTTCAGTCGTTTAGTGTAGCTGATGGTTGCCAACGCAGTAGCCAACTGATTTGGGTGATTTTCCAGTCGCGTTTTATATTTATTCCCTGTCAGCTTTAGCTCCTCCCTAACAGTTCTCATGCTCAGAGCTTCGTGGATTTCAGTGTTGGTAATGAACCATGGTGCATTTGAGATGGTTCTTAGGATGCCATTCTGCAGTCTCTGCACTATGTTTATGTTAGAGTCACTAGCACTTCCCCACAGCTGTGCGCCGTACATCCATATTGGTTTCAGGATCACTTTGTATATCAACAGTTTGTTGTCGATCGACAGTTTGGAGTTACGTGCCATTAGCCAGTAGATATTCCTAAACCGTATATTCAGCTCGTCTCTTTTTGTTTTGATGTGTTTTTTCCAGGTCAGCCTTTTGTCCAGATGCATACCGAGGTATCGAACAGATTCACTCTGTGGCAATACATTGCCTCCCATTTTCACTGGAGCGCAGCTTCCCCTCCTTAATGTGAACGTGACATGCACGGATTTAGTTGTGCTGGCTTTTATTCTCCATTTCTGGATCCATTCGTCGACTTTGTCAAGGCTATTTTGCAAGACGGCGGATGCTGCAATTGGATCCTTGCTGCTTGCTAGGATTGCAGTGTCATCAGCAAATGTAGCCGTTGTTACATCTTGTGTTTCTGGGAGGTCAGCAGTGTAGATAGTATATAATACGGGGCCAAGCACAGATCCTTGTGGAACTCCCGCCATTACATCTTTTATAACAGACAGTTCTCCGTCCTCTCTCACCTGGAAAATTCTGTTTGTGAGGTATGACTCCATCAATAGGTAAAAACTATGCGGTAGGTATGTTTTTATTTTGTAGAGGAGGCCTCTATGCCACACTTTATCAAAGGCTGCCTGGATATCCAAGAATACAGCGGAGCAGTATTCCTTTTTTTCGAAGGACTGTCTTATTCTATCACACACCCGATGCACCTGTTCTACCGTAGAGTGCTGCTGTCTAAAACCAAACTGGTGTTGAGGTATTGTTAGGTTTTCATTGAGTATGGGTGATATTCTGCTCAAGAGGATCCTCTCAAACACTTTAGACAGCACAGGCAAGAGGCTTATGGGTCTGTACGACGAGGGGTCCTCCGGGGGCTTTCCCGGTTTGTGTATCATTGTTACTATTGATACCTTCCATAATCTGGGAAAATATTGTACTCGAAGCATACCGTTAAAGAGAACGACCAGGAAAACCAATGCCTTCCTGGGGAGTTGCATGATAATTTCTTTTGTAATGAGATCGAATCCAGGGGCCTTTCTGTTTTGTAATCTGTATACGGTTCTCTTCAGTTCCCCAACTGTGACCGGTCTTGGTGGAATGGACAGTTGCAGGTCCTGCTGCAGTGTACATTCGACCTCATTTTCAAACTCCGCGTTGCTGCCTTCATTAGGTGTAAAAATGGTGGATAGGTGTTTTGCAAAAACGTTGGCTTTTTCTTTACTTGTCCTAGTCCAACCAACCTGTGCCCTTAGGGGGCATTTATATTGCTGTGGCCTATTCAACTCCTTTGTAAACTTCCAGAGAGAGTACTCTGTGGATTTTGTGGCAGTTAAATTTTCCAGTTTGTCCCTCAGTGTGGCATCATTTATAATATCTATTGAGTTTTTCAACTCTCTAATGGCTTTGTTTAGTGCAGTCTTGTCACTTTTATGCCCAGTTTGGTGCCATATCCTACGTAGTTTTCTCTTCTCTAGTATTTGGCGTTTGATCTCGAGAGGTAAGTTCCCACCCACTTTGCAATTTGATTCTTTTTTTAGGGGAGTGTTGATCCAGCAAGCCCTTTGTATTAGATTAGTAATATATTGGGTTGCGTCATCTATCTCGTCTGGTGTTTTCAGGGATACTTTTATCTCGATGCATTCGTCAATGTATTCTCTGAAGCCTTCCCAATCAGTGAGGTTGTTGCACAAGGTTTCAGATTTCTCATGGCTAATGATAGTCGTACTAATAGTAAGAAGAACAGGAGTGTGGTCGGAGCTACTGTCTAAGCTGGATTCCGCCTTCATGTAATTTGCCGAAAGTCCCTTTGTCACGAAGAAGTCCAACAAATCTGGTTTTTTATTTGGATCTGAGGGCCAATACGTTGGTTCTCCTGATGAAATGCAGTTGAGGTTGTTTTCGTCGAGGCTTAGTTTTAGTTGCCTGCCTCTAGTTGTTGTTAGCCTAGATCCCCAGTATGTATTTTTGGCGTTCCAGTCACCACCAGCCACATATCTTCCCCCCAATGTTGAGAAGTATTCCGTGAAGTTTGTTGAACTTATTGTATGTCTGGGCGGACAGTATACCGCCGACAGGTTAAGCTGTCCACAGCCGCTTTCCACCGCAATAGTCGTAGCCTGAATGTGATTCGTTTTAAATTCTGGAAGCACTTGGTGCTTGATGGAATTTCTTAAGATAGATATAAGTAGGTATTTGACTCAAGTTTTTGTTCCAACTTTGCCCTCCATTTTTATCTTTAGCTTCATGGGCCGACATCTGTTTACGTCAGCTGTTTTGACCAATCGTATCGCAGAATTATGAAGCGCGTCTGGATTGGAGACGTTAAAAATTACCATAATCGGGGCTCAGTGCCCCGATTGCGCTAATTTTTAACGTCTCCAATTCATTAGCGCTTCTTCTCCTCCAGTTGCACTCCGTTTTTTATTTCAGCTGAGGTGCAAATTCGGTATCCCGGTAATAGACGTACCTTCCTAGTATTTTCATTGTCACATGAGATATTTAGCTAAAATTGAAGGTCAATTTCAAAAAGAATCAGGGCCCAGCACAGCATTGAATAGTGATCGCTCGCAATGCTATGAAATGCTAGCTAGGTAATTAAGTACGAAAAAATCATAGTTTATTAGGAGGAAATTATATCGATACTTTCGCCCTAACCTTATAGATGCACATCACTAATTAATTATCAGCTGATTGTCATATTTGTATGTCAGTTTCATTCATTCAAATATTTATTTTCTTCTCTTTTAATTTATTTTCTTGATTTTCTTCTGCTTGAATGATTTCGATTATGAATACTAGAAATATATTTCGAATGTGCAATAAAATGATAATACCATCAATATCGTCGAGGAGCTACGGCTACAAAGTAATAAAAAGACCGGATCCTAAAACATTGAAAATGCCTGCACCGGGCTCGGCTCCTAGTTTAATGGAAATAATTAAAGAGAAGATCCGTCTAAATGGGCCTATAACAGTGGCCGAGTACATGCACATAGTGATAACGAACCCTACTGAAGGATATTACATGAAGAAGGAAGTGATTGGCGAAGCAGGGGATTTCATAACCTCTCCAGAAATAAGTCAGCTGTTTGGAGAAATCCTAGCCATCTGGTTTTATGCAGAGACGCAGAAAATGGGTTTCGGCAAACCCTTGAATATCGTTGAACTTGGTCCCGGGAAAGGAACTTTAATGGTCGACATTTTAAGGGTATAAAAAATATCACTATCATTATTCCATACTGTTAAAGATAGAAATTATAATGTAAAGTATTTCGTTTTAGTATTAATTTCTAATTGTATTGGTTTTCGTTCAAGGTTCTTAATCGTCTTGGCTATGAATCAACCAATGTGAGCCTACACTTAGTTGAAGTCTCATCTACGATGCAAAATGTGCAAGCAAACAGGCTTTGTATATCACACAGAGCTACTGATATTGAATCTCCATATAATTATGAGGTAATCATGATTTTTGTATAGTATTCTAACCCTGGGTTGCACCATTTTACTTTAGTTCGGTCTTACTGTTATGGTTAAAGCTAAAGTGGTGTAACTGAGGCTTAGTTTTGTAATTGTAACTTACATCTTACTTAATAAATGAATATTTATTTTTCAGGGTGAAACGTTAAGCGGTATCAAAGTATACTGGTATAATGACTTGAAAAAGGTGCCACATGAATTTTCCTGGTATATAGCCCATGAATTCTTTGATGTACTTCCCATTCATAAGTTTCAGGTATAGTGAAGAGATACATAAATGTTTTGTATAAAGATCATACTTAGTTTTTTTTTAAATACATGAATGTTTAGAAATTTTTGACAAGTTGCAAATATTTCTAACACTATTGGTTAAATAATTAAACTATCCCTTGTTCTAGAAAACTGAAGATGGCTGGAAAGAAATATTAATAGACATAGATGAAACTGGTAAACTTTATTATAGAATATCAGCAAAAGAAACACAATCAGTAAAGGTATTACTGCGACCACCACTGGACTCTGGAGACCGAACTGAAATTGAAGTCAGTCCAAGAAGTCTCGGTATCGCTAGACAACTTGCTCAGAGAGTTGATGAGTGTGGAGGAATAGCGTTGATCGCTGACTACGGCCATGAAGGTGAAAAAGGAGACACATTTAGGGTATGTATATTTAGTGTAATATAAAAGGTTTTTTAATAATTAGATTAAAAGTTGCAATAGTAGTCTGTCTTCTGGAAAATTTAAACCATATTGCAACCTCTCTTAGTAAATATTTTGACCATACAGCAATAGTAGGCAATTTAAGAGAAACAAATCTTCTTTACCCGGAAGCTTATTACAAAATTTACAATAACCATTCTTTAACCTTTCAGGCGTTCCATAAGCATAAAGTGGTAGACCCATTAGAGAACCCTGGTGCCAGTGACCTCACCGCTGATGTGGATTTCATGCAGCTTAGAATCGCAGCTGCCAAAACTCCAAGCGATGACAACTATGCCATAGTAATGGGCCCTGTGCAACAGAACGATTTCTTGGAAAGAATGCAGGCACGAGTGCGTTTGCAGGTGAGATTTCGTGGAAGATTTGATACCTGAATATTATTATTCATTTTCAATGGCCTCCATGGTGCATTTAGCCAATGTTGAGTGTTTAAACACACACAGTGCCAATAGAAATGTTTATAGATAAAAATTGATAAAATACTGTCAATTAATAAACAAAATATTTTACAGGTACTGATGGACAATGCTAAGACAGAAGAAGAGAAAGAAAAAATCAAAAGTGCATACGAGATGCTAGTGGATCCTAAAAAAATGGGCGAAAGATTTAAATTTATGGCATTGTACCCATCTTCCATGGAAAAGATATTGGAGCAGCATCCGCCTTTAGGTTTTTCTGTACCTAAACCCTAGTTATAAAATAATTGATATAAATACTGTAAATATTATTTAAAAATATACATAACGTTTGTTTTTATTAAAAGTTTTTTTTTACTATCAAATTACTATAATTGAAATCTTTGACTTTAAATACTTTTAAATTTACTTTAAATATTAAAAGTCAATTTAAAGTGCTATTCCAAAAAATATTTAGAAATGGACACAGAGTTTCACTCGTGTACTTTATTTTATTAATTGGGTTGCCTTTATGAATGATATACAGGGTGGAATTTTGTAATGCCACCTGGAGGGAAAGTACTCTTAATACTGTACATAAAATTAACTTTAAAAAAAAATAAAACCGACTTCAAATGCGTGAACACAAAAAAAACTGAAAATTGCGTATAAAAAAGTTCATCCCCAATTTTCCACCCTTGGGGGTATATTGCGTATAAAAAAGTTCATCCCCAATTTTCCACCCTTGGGGGTGAAATATTTTCTTCAAATTCGCATGAAACCACCCTTTTGATAATACCTATTCAACAAAAAAATAATCGTTCAAATTGATTTATAATCGGCGGAGATATTGCGTATAAAAAAGTTCATCCCCAATTTTCCACCCTTGGGGGTTGTTTTTTCTATTATTAAATTTAAATGGGACCACCCTTGAGGTATTACCTATACGCCGAAAAAAGATTTGTTCAAATCGGTTCATAATTGGCGGAGTTATCGCGTAACAAACATAGAAAAAAAAAAACATACGGGTCGAATTGAAAACCTCCTCCTTTTTTTTGAAGTCGGTTGAAAATTTACTGAAAGAAAACATTCCTTTATTTTTTAAAAGAAAGAGAGCTGCATTCAAAGATTTTCGAATTTTTTTCGAAAATTCACTACCATACCATACAATTTACTGCACATAATTAAAATAATTTAAGATTTCATGGTTTTCCTTTCATTTCATGTATCAAGTTTGTTAGAAAGATTTCATCCTTATACTTAACCATAACGATCGATGCAATAAAAATACAGGGTGTAATTTTTAACAGATTTTAGTTGGTTCGGTTCCCAGGTGTGGCAAGCAAATTTTTTTGAAATCTTTCTATTTCTTTTCAAAAATAAAGGAATGTTTTCTTTGAGAAAAAAATTCTATCTACAATATTAGGAGTACTTTCCCTCCAGGTGGCATTACAAAATTCCACCCTGTATAATGTGAATTTGTGAATGTGATGACTGATGATGATACCCCTGTCTGTGCCTCCATATCTGTGGTGCCTCCTGTTCCTATCCTGTGATTTTTCTCTATACCAGTAAAAGGTTAAAAAGTCTGCTAAACCTTTTTTCTGTGTTCGATTCAACAATTTAATTGAATTTTATAGCCTGACCAGGAACATAAAAACCCTGGCACAGAGGCGCGTCAATTGCATTTGATAGTGCAACACTGAGTACAGTCGTACCTGTGTTAAATTAATAGGCTAACTTTATGTATCAGGATTCAGTATTACGGGCTAATTTGATATTCTCATAAATTAACGAAAAAATATTATTATAGGTAACCTGATTTAAATAAATTAAATGAAACCATCAATCGAGCTAGTACAATTTATTTTATTATTCATTGATAATCAAATTCAGAACTTGAATATTCAACTGCAATGTCTGCTCATGAACGCTTCAAACTCGGTACTTCTTTCCCAACCCCATAAAATTCAACACTTAGAAAGTGACAAAAAATGTTAAAATAGGTATTTGAAACAAACCACAGCTAATTTTCATAGTGGACTGTACTATACGATAAACATGTCAGTCAATTTGACAACCTTTGTCGGAAACATTATTCAATGAAAATATTGTCCAAACCCTTAGTATTTCTCTTCGACAAATACTTTAACACATTGTGAACCACTTTTCTTTCACGACTATAAAAATATTTTAGCAATTTAATTCATAAAACCAATTGCGCACATTTAAAATATACTTTGTTTACACTTTGACAGCAATAGACTGACATGCAAGGTGACATGTCAATGAAGTTTTCAGTTACTGTTGCCATTAAAAGAAATTAGTACCATTAGTTTTCCGCAACATGGCGAGGGTTTTTATGTTCCTGGTCAGGCTATAAGAACGATTATTTACCACTGCCCCATCCCTAAAAAGAGCTGTCAAATCTAGTTAAATAATCTGTCAAATTCTCAGACGAAGTGTGAGAATTTTTATTTGCAGTTTCAATTAATTTTATTTTGTTCTTGTGTTTCTGGGAGTATACGGTCTAAATATTATTACTTACAAAATATAGTACTAGTAGTAATACATGTTGAAGAGATAGTGCGCAGTCCATGCCATGCGTTATTTTGTGGCTATGGTAGGTTATGTTTTGATTTGAACGTATACTTAGAACGTTTAAAAACCGCGTGTGGCATTTAAAAACACACTAATAAAATGACTCAGAAATTTCAACAGGAGGCAGAAGCCAGCGAAAACACAAAATATAAGGATGGAGTCAACAGGAACGCTAGGCTTATTGTTCGAAATATATCCTTCAAGGCGACTGAAGACAGTTTGCGGGATCACTTCTCCCAATACGGGACCGTGGAAGAAGTGAAACTGCTTCGGAAGCCCGACGGGAAGCTGGTGGGATGTGGCTTCGTGCATTACACACACGTGCCCATGGCCAACAAGGCTATAACTGCTACTAATAAAAAACCATTTCTAGGTAAAGTACTTATTTTATCTTGACTGTGAGTTATTTTCACTGTAAATGCCTTAAAAAAGTGATCAAAACTTAATTTCATACCTATATTAAAATACCACATGCTGCACATTATTAATACTGTTATTCTAACTTCTGATTGATTGCACGGTACAAGAAGAAGAAAAACAATGTTGTCAATCAGATGATAATATTCGATAACAAATAAATTTCAGACCGTCCCATTTACGTCTCTTGGGCAGTGCCCAGGCATAAATATGGGGAGAATGCAGAGCAGGACCAACCTCCCAAGAAGAGTGCAACTTTTGGTGATTACGAAAAAATTACAGTTAAGGGTAAGTTACGGAATACTTTCAAATATCTTCAAAATTAAATGATGATGTCTGTTAATTCAATTTGATATTTTAAACCATTTTTGTTTTAGATGAAGATCAAACCAAATCAGACAAGGATAAAAATAAACAACGTATCAACCGCAATGCACGTCTTATCATAAGAAATGTGAGCTTCAAAGCCACTGAAGAATCCTTGAAGGAGCATTTCCAAACCTACGGTGATATATTGGAGGTGAAACTTCTCAAGAAACCGGATGGCAAACTGGTTGGGTGTGCGTTCGTACATTTCAAGAATGTGCCAATGGCCAAGAAAGCTCTGTTGAGCACTAACATGAAGCCATTTTTGGGTGTGTATCAAAAATTCATCAATATTATTTAAGTTTCATCATCTTACTTATATTTTCTACATTTGATAGATAGATAGTGTCTGTCTTATCCCACTGCTGAGCTAAGACCTTTGCAGCTCCAATAAACGTAGTTTAATATCAATACAGTCTCCTCTATCTTGTTTTAGTTAATTTTCATCCTCTGCTCCATATTTCCAGGCCGTCCAATATCCGTGGACTGGGCGGTGGCCAAGGACAAGTACATGCAGCACATCGTGAACCAGCAGCTGGAGATGCAAGAGGATGTCAAGAAGGAAGACTCCGACAGCGACGAAGATGAGCCTCCACTAAACATCTCCAATGACGATGTGAAGGCTGAGATTAAAAGTAATTTTACGTTATACTTTAGGCCAGCGGTTCCCGAATGGTGGTCCGCGGAACCCTGGGGTTCCGTGGAAAGGCCGCAAGGGTTCCGTAAAAAATATTATCCCACGTTTCGTGACCGACGTTGTTCGCTCGCACCGACTTGTTTACGCACAAGGGAGGGGCAGGGCGTGCGGGCGGAGTAGTACGGGGGTTCCGCTAGGAAAAGTATAATCAATTAGGGTTCCTTGGCAAAAAAAAATTGGGAAACCCTGCATTAGGCAGTCTTCATCCATTGATTTATAAGGTTACACACCAACGCCGCCAAGACAACTAGGAGTCGGAGTGGTCGCCATGGCCGAAATCGGTCGGATGGATCACTCACTCACTCACTCACTCACTATAAGGTTACAGCCGAAAGACGTCCACTGCTGGACAAAGGCCTCCCCCAAGGTTTTCCACATAGACCGGCCCTGCGCCCGCAGCTCCCGCGACCTTCACCAGATCGTCGGTCCACCTAGTGGGAAACCTGCCCACACTAACGTCTTTCGGCTCGTGGTCACCACTTAAGAATTTTTCTGCCCCAGGCAAGATTTGATCATTTTTCAATCAATTTTAGGTGAATCAGATGGTGATTCTGTAAAAGAAGAGGATGATTCTTCAGCAGAAAGTGATGATGAAGACGATAAAAGCGATGATGAAGATAGTGATGATGAAAAAGATGATGAGGACCAGGAGGAGGAAGAAGATGATGTTGATGATGATCAAAGCCAAACCAGCACTAAACCGGAATGGAAGCGGTAAGTTCATGATCAATATTATGGTGGTTTCTTTACTCTATTGCTCTATCTTGACCTTCATTCTTCCTTCCTGGGTGGGATAATTTTTATAATCATAAAACAGTTATTGCTAATAAACATTGTGCCAAAGTTAAACAAGAACAAGGGGCTAATGGGACTTTTAGTAATTTGTAAAACCAAAAATTAATAATAATCTTTTTTTTTAAAGTGGTTGCAGGGAAAACTGTTATAATAACAGCCCCTTAATAATTAGCCCCTTTTGAGGGCACTCATACATGTCCCAAATGTAGTTTACTTTACTTTTTAACAAGGCTACTATTCCCTCCACTCATTCCCACTTTGCAACCTCTGTGTAGTCAGGATCTACAGCTTGACAGCCAATAAAAACTTAAGTGAAGGTCAAGTTTGTCCCAAAAACTACTTGCGACAACATATGGTTGGTCCTGAAAAGTTGGGAAGCTTCTCATGATACAGTAGAATCCCGATTATCCGGATAATCGATTTCAAAGGAAAATCAAACAAATATTTACTTTTTACAATAGAAAGGGTTTTCAATACATCATTTTAGACCATTGGATGAATCCATTTCTTATAACAATGAACCAAGACGACGTCTGTACCGTGTTACGGTGGCGGCGCCTTGCCGTTTTGATGGGTCCAGACCCTAAATCGGTAATTAGAACCGGGAAGAATGAATGAATCCGGATAATCGATATTCTACTGTATAACTTTTCCGACAACCACCAACATATCGGCTGAGAAGCAGCAGTAGTCAGTACCAACTATCTCTATCTCGCCAGGACCCAGCTGAACGATGCAGAGGACGGCTGCACAGTGTTCGTCAGCAACGTGCCGTTTAGCGTGGACAGCGCACAGTTGCGGGAATTCGCGGAGGGCACCGCGCCCGTGCGCTATGCGCTCGTCTGCGTCGATAAGCTCACCGAGCACTCCAAGGGCTCGGGCTTCATCAAGTTTACCGTGAGTCGCTTGTTCCTTACTAGCATCTGCCACATATCTCAACAAGTTCACAAATCATCAGATCCATCTGCCATATTTGCCACTCTCACTTGTTTCCACGGTTGGATCATTTGAGTCCAAATGGGTATGTGCAAATACTCCACTGTAAATGAGTGTTCAATTTAATATTTATATGAGAGAGGTCTCTCAATATGATTGTCTACCTAACATTATTATTGTTTTCTTTTACAAATAGCTTCGCTGTTCTTCGTTTCAATGAAGCGATTTCGAAATGGTAACGTGTACGCGGACTATTTCCTCGTCTGACGTCTACAACAGGTCATATTATTATAGCATCCTCTGCAGGGAGTACTATCATATAGTATCACGACATAAACTTTCTTGCCGCAGAACACGGCTTCCGTTCGGATCATATAGCATCTACTGAAGGAGTGCCGCAGGCAAACTTGTATACAGTGAAGGACTACCGTGACGTCACCCGTAACCCTTTGCAGAACCAGGAGGACGCGGACAAGTTCCTGGCACTGCCGGCGGCGTCGCTACGACTGGATGGACAGACGCTGCAGGCGCGGCCGGCGCTGCGCCGCGACAGCCTGCTCAAGCAGCCGCGCCAGCCCAAGGACAACCGCAACCTGTACCTCGTCAAGGAGGGCGGTGAGTGCATGCTGTAGCGACTGGACGGACAGACGCTGCGGCTGGAGGGACAGACGCTGCAAGCGCGGCCGCAACCCGTACCTCGTCAAGGAGGGCGGTGAGTGCATGCTGTAGCGACTGGACGGACAGACGCTGCGGCTGGAGGGACAGACGCTGCAGGCGTGGCCGCAACCCGTACCTCGTCAAGGAGGGCGGTGAGTGCATGCTGTAGCGACTGGACGGACAGACGCTGCGACTGGACGGACAGACGCTGCGGCTGGAGGGACAGACGCTGCGGCTGGATGGACAGACGCTGCAGGCGCGGCCTCAACCTGTACCTCGTCAAGGAGGGCGGTGAGTGTACTGCTGTAGCGACTGGACGGACAGACGCTGCGGCTGGATGGACAGACGCTGCGGCTGGATGGACAGACGCTGCGACTGGATGGACAGACGCTGCAAGCGCGGCCGCAACCTGTACCTCGTCAAGGAGGGCGGTGAGTGTACTACTATAGCGACTGGACGGACAGACGCTGCGGCTGGAGGGACAGACGCTGCAAGCGCGGCCGCAACCTGTACCTCGTCAAGGAGGGCGGTGAGTGTACTACTATAGCGACTGGACGGACAGACGCTGCGGCTGGATGGACAGACGCTGCAAGCGCGGCCGCAACCTGTACCTCGTCAAGGAGGGCGGTGAGTGCATGCTATAGCGACTGGACGGACAGACGCTGCGGCTGGATGGACAGACGCTGCAAGCGCGGCCGCAACCCGTACCTCGTCAAGGAGGGCGGTGAGTGCCCCATGCCATGTGCAATCAAACCTTTACATTATAGGAACATTTCGACATCATTTTTGTTCAGAGCAGCCCAAGGACAATCGCAACTTGTATCTCGTCAAGGAGGGCGGTGAGTGCCACGTCATGAGGCGCCAATAATCGTACCTTTATACTATAGGAACATTTCGACATCATTTTTGTTTAGAGCGGTTTATAACAACCGCATCTTGTACCCGATTAAGAAGGTGGTGGTCACTACACTAGTGTTCGGACTTGGCGCTAACAATCATACTATTATGGTACGCCGCAGGCACGGGATTCTTCTATTGGTCTACTATTGAAAATATTCTTAGCAGTCATTCCATTGATAACAGAAACCTTCAACCACACCAACGCGTAACGCGCAAGTTCAGGCGACCTGTCATTTCCCAATGATCGCGTCGGCGAAGGCGATCTGCACGCGTTGGTAAAGCATAACAGTTAGGCTAAGAACTCACGGCGCGAATTTCACCCGCGCCCGCGGCGGTTGTGGAATTGCGGTTTTATTTCAAAACTCACGGGAGCGGTTATTTGCGCGGTTATTCTAAGAACGCGCCCGCCGCGGGTGAAAATCGCGCCGCGCGCTAAGACACTGGTCAAAAATGGTCGCCCACCGATCGGGCGGTTATCCCGACCCGCGTGATTCTTCCGCGCCCGTTGTGCATTAGTTTTTACGTATCTGCATTCTACAGAAACTGCGGGCCCGCAACATGGGTTCTTAGCCTTACGAACTTAATAATGGGAGCACGTTCACATCGCCTGGCAGCGTCAGCTTACCTGACCTCTCGTGGCAGCGTCAGCTGACCGTGACTTCGTGTGCTGCGTGTCTCGCTAATGTCGTGTAGCTGCATCAGCTCTCTTGACGCTAAAACCACGTACGTAGCTTGTACTGGATGCCCTAACTGACGTGTCCTTGTGTCCCGCAGTGGTGGCAGCGGGCAGCCGAGCGGCGCTGGGCGTGTCGAGCTCGGACATGGCCAAGCGGCTGGCGCTCGAGCGTAGCAAGACCCAGATGCTTAAGAACCTCAACAGGTATGTATTGTAGACTTATACATATTTACTTTTGCTTCATAGTGAGACTATCACAACGTGATAATATTACACTCAACATCAAATAAACCGCACCTTCCGCGACGCGAACTTTAAAGATTTTCTTCTGAAACAATCATGGTGCCCCAACAATATTTGAAAGCCCAATAAATAAACATACACATTTAATTTTTTCATAAACACTTAACAGGTACCATAAATATGACTTGAAAAAAGGCCTCACTTGGGGCTCACCTATGGGATCAATTAGACCAATTTTTGTGGTTATAAAACCAAATAATCATCTTACGTGTCTTTTTTAACAGATGGATAGCGATTAATCCCAATTTAACAGTTTTATAGCCATAAAATCCTTCTAAAAACACATTTTTGGGGTAAAAACCTTTCCTTTAATGAAATTAAGTTTAGAACTAGGCTTTCAAATGGTACCAATGTTGGTGGGAAGTGGGGATGCACACGTTTGATAAGTGCTTGTCGCGGGAGGTGCGGTTTATTTGATGCCGAGTGTAGTATTTGTAAACACCTATGTTTCACAATAAATAATTTTGAATTTAAATGCACATCACCTTTACCCCAAATACATTTCATTCATACTAACCCATGGATCAACTGTAATCTGATTAATAAAATATTTGAATTTGAAAATAAAGACTGAATTTTTTTGTCGGCCGAAAGTCCTAGAGAGAAAGAGAGACTAAACATTTTTGGGAGTCTGAAATTCACTGAGATTTAGATATAGAGGTATAAACTACCAACTCATGTATTGTATTCTGTACTTTTTGCGTGAATGAGTAAAAAAATAGTCTCACAAACTGCAACACTGAATATACCCGTAAAGGGAAAAAGTTACAGAGACTGAAAACTACTTCGATTTTCAGGGCTAGATGTGTTTTACAAAGTGTCTACTACAAATGTTCAACTGTGACGTGATACAATTTTAGTCCATTTTTGACCCGGTTCGCCAGTGTCGACTCTCACAGTGCGGGTCAGAAGTGCGGCTTAGTAATTACTTTTTTTCTAAAAAAGATGTCTCGTTTACTTCTCCAACTAAGCTAAAGTCCGGTCGCCGAGCACGTAGAATTTCGCACACTCACTGTGACCGCTCGTCACACATTCGCGACAGCGATATAATTACGCGCGAGCAATAAGAATGGGTAGCTTGGGGTCATTGGACGAAATTACCCGTGTTCGGCGACCGGACTTTTAAATTATGCTTATTTTCGGAGTGGTTTCAGCTCAATAGAACATCGTTTTTTCAGGTTCGTGTCCCGCTACCGGCTGGTGGTATCCAACCTGCCTCCCTCGTGGAATGACACTCGCTTGCGGCGGGTTTGCGTGGCGGCTGCGGGACGCGCCGCCGTCGTCACGGAGGCTCGTGTGATGCGTGACCTGCGCGCGCCGCTCGGGACAGACGGACAGCACCCGTGAGTCACATTACAGAATAGATCATGTTATTCACGAAGACGCGCCCCACCATTCTTCCGCTAATGTTTGAGTGTTATCGGTAGGTACACGCTAAATCATCTATGAGTGCACACGCACACTACAATAATGACGCTCGGATTGCTCGAATCAAACTCCCCGCACCCCGCGCTTCTCTCTCGACCAAACATTGGTGGGGCGCGTCTTTGTGGATGAAACTATCTTAATAATATGTACAACGTAGTTTACAAAAGTTTTACGATTTTTCTTCGCGAAGGTATTAAAAAAATATCTACACAATACCGTCAACAATATGCTGTAATTTAGCTTGTCTCAAGAGTCGAGCACCGTTTCGTTTACTTATGTCAGTGATCGGTATAACTGTGCCGATGCGATACCGACACAAAATAGGGATTATAAAAATCTTTTTCAAATACCATTTCAATATAATTATTTGGATGTCATTAAAACTGTACGTTTTTTACAGGTCAAAAGGCTACGGCTTCGTAATGTTCACTCGACACGAAGATGCACTTACCTGCCTGAGAAAGTTGAACAACAACCCAGACATTATCGATCAGAACAATGTAAGTAACTTCCTGCCCCATACAACCAAACTGTGGAATGGACTGTCGACTGCGGTGTTTCCGGACGGATACGACCTGCAAGCTTTCAAGAGGAGAGCGTATCTTTACCTTAAAGGCCGGCAACGCACCTGTAACGCCACTGGGTCTGCTGGTGTCTATGGGCGACGGTAATCACTTACCATCAGGTGATCCGTCTGCTCGTTTGCCTCCAAAAAAAAAAAAAAAACAAGTTTATAAATATTCTTCCATGTGTAACTCTTACTGATTTAAGTTTATTTGACACAAAGCACAAAATAATCAATCTGACTGTAGTTGTTGCAATTCTCAAAGGCGAGTGAGCTTTACATGTGTGGTGGCTCGCTACTAGCGTTTTGACAGAAATGTCTATGCTGACACTATCGTTATGTGCATGTACACGTACACACACACACACACACACACACACACACACAAGTAAAGCTCACTCGCCTTCGTGAGTTGCAAGAACTATAACTGGCAATATTTTGAAGTGCTTCTTTCTTCTACTATTACCATATTAGATGGAGCTTGAGGTGGTTCTCTATCAAAAACATTATTTTCCAGAGGCCCATCGTCTCCTTTTCCATAGAAGATAGAACCGCGCTGAACGCCAGAAAGAAGCGTCTGGAAAAATCCATCGCCAACAACCCAACGGCCAACAAACCGGACAACGATAACCAATCGAAAAACAGGAAACGCAAAAACATGGCCCCGCCGGACGAGAGTTACGTGAAAAAAGGCAGATTCGATAAACCTAAAAACCATAATGATGACTTCGCTAAAAAGAGGTTAATGGGGAAGAAACATCAAAACCAAAATGAAAACAGCGCAGGGAAATTCGTAAGGAGACCAAGAAACGACGAATCTAATGAATACACTGGATTAACTGCTAAAGAGGGTTCTCAACACAAAATGAGGAGCAATCATAAATTGCGACAACAGGCGGACGTCCATAGACAACAGGTCAAAATGGAAAAGAAAAAAAGTAAGAAGGCCATGCGACTCAAAATGGCGGCCAAGGAAAGGGTGAAGCAGCCGAAACAGAAAATTAATAAAGCGCCCGGCAAGAAAAATAAAAGGAAGAAGTTCAAGTCGAATAATATTAGGGATATACTTAAGTAAATGTACATTATGTATTATATTCGTTTTTAAATACATTTAATTGTAAATATGTATTCAGTTTTTTTATTAATCATTTCTTTGGTAAGACCCGATACAAGTCATTCTTGAATATCATCATCATCATCAACAGCCCTTTACAGTCCACTGCTGGACTATGAGCCATAATCTCCACGCTAGGCAGGCGGGTTGGAGATTGCAGTTTAAAAGATTGATGTTTTTCAGAGAGCGCTGCTGCCCATTCTCTGTTTAATGTGTAGTCCCTAAGTCGCCTCTTACGACACCCGCGGGAAGAGTAGGAATATAATATTGTTTATTTAATAAAACAATTAAATAAGTACAAAATGTATTTACATGAATAATTATGGCGTCATTAACCAGCTATATTGAAGCTGTCTGAATAAATCTGTATAATAACCCACTATTTTATCTTTGTCCAGCAGTGGACGTCTCTTATTTGCTTGAAACTAACGAGCAGTGGCCGATTTACATATTTCCATCTTAGTTTTCTATCTAGTCCATCTACGCTAAGGTATTATGCTGCGGCGAGGCCACGACAAATATTTCTATGTATTGTTGTCTTTGTGTGATATCCATTTTGTAATAAATGAGTCACATAGAAGCAGAGCCAGCGACATTTTTTTTTGTTATGATACATTCAGTAAAAAAGTGGAGGCTGCTTCTATATGACTGAATCAAATGTTTTTTTCTTTTTAAATCACGGTACACACTACCGCAGCATTTTATAAATAATTTTAATTTCTATAGGGCAGAATTAATCCTAAATACCAATTTTATTGGCAATCCTATTGGTGACTGCCACTGCTCCCGAGGCCCGGTCATGACGTCATGACCGGGGCACGCGCACGCATCTTATCCGGGTGCGCGAGCAACTCCCGCGCAGTCAAATGGTCGTGCAGAAGTTGGAGGTACTCTTGCTGGTGTTTGTTGTAGTGCAGCACGTGCGGCGAGCGCTCCCAGCAGTGCCACGTGCACTGCAAGTATAATAAAGATGTTTAAAAACATAATCATCAGACTAAACCAGGGGTTCCCAACCTTTTCCACCCCGCGGCGGAGTTACTTTAGTATTTTTTTATCCCTTTGAAAAAGATACAGCCGAAAGAAATAAGCATATTTAATGATAGTAGTTAGGTTTAGGTAGATAGGAACATAAATTAAAACATCTATCTACAATATGAAATTTCTACGGCGCCGCACGAGGGCGCCCCAGGACGCACACTTTGGTAAGCCTAAACAGTTTTGTTGCATCTCTATTATAACTACGTAAAAGATAAAAAGACCTCAATATTTATGTGCTCTATTTTGTACATCCACATTCTACAGTGCTTTCAAACCTGCCTGCGAAACCTGTATGCATAGGGGTTCAATATCGGTAGCCTAACATCTTGGTGGGTACTGCACCATTCTTGGGTCCACCCCCCCATAAATACACCTATAGGGACTGCCGAACTGTCAGAGCATAATGCGTCCTGTGGATCAGTGTTACCTTGACGCCTAGGTTGACCCAGCTATCGTGCACGCTGCGGTTACTCCGCTCGGCGCCTACGGGGTCACTACGGGACAGCAGGAACAGCGCGGGCGCACGGCACGGGGTCTTGTGGAAGAGATCCGAAGCACGCAGGTAATGCGACGTCGCAGCGTCGTGGAATTTCTTCAAGTGGTATCTAGTATAAAAGTTTTCAATTATAATGCAACTCAGTGTAAAACGGCCTGGCCTGGATGAGGGCGATTCAAGACCGGTATTGTGGAAATCCTTGGGGGAGTTTTGTCCAGCTGTGGACGTCATTTGGCATTTGGATAAAACGGCACATAGCTCGTAGAGCTGATGGCCGTTGGGGCAAAAAAGTTCTTGAGTGGCGACCACAGGCCAGAAGACGTGGGCAGGCCTTGAACTAGGTGGATCGAAGATCTGGTGAAGGTCGCGGGAAGAACCTGGATGCCGGCATCGCAGTACCGGTCATTGCGGAAATCTTGGGGGAGAGCTTTGTCCAGCAGTGAACGTCATTTGGTTGAAACTAATAAACTGTATAACGAGTAAGTGCGACTGACGAGGCTGCTGCGTAAGTGCTGTTCGCACCTTGACAGTCGTTCGAAATTGTGCGAGAGAGAGATAATAATTTATGCGTTATGCGATAAAGAAAGAGGCAATATAGCAACAGAGGGAGGGCCTCTCCTGACGTAGGTAGCTACTTGTGCTATGTGGTTAAAAAAATTGAATGGTTGTTTTTCTATATGACTGTGAAGTTTATTTTAGATATGATAGATAGGTCATAAATCAGTATTGTAATTTGTTTGACAACCAACCACATTACTTACTTGGTATAGGTCCTTAGAGCGTTCTGTAGGAACATATTCTTCGGGAACACAGCGGAGGGGAAGCCGACGGGAATCTCGGTGATGTCGGCCGCCGAGTCCCACACTTGAGCGCGCACTCGGTCCAGGACAGGTTGGTATCTGAGAAGAAGTTTTATACGTCTTAAGTGATGTTTATCCCGATGGATTAGCAAGCTGAAGTGGCAATGGGCAGGGCACATAGTACTCAGAACTGATGCCCGATGGGGCAGCAAGATTCTGGAGTGGAGGCCGCGTACCGGGAAACGCAGAGTAGGACGTCCACCAACAAGGTGGACCGACGACATTGTATAGGTAGCAGGGAAGCGCTGGTCGCAGGCCGCTACCAATCGATCAACATGGAAAGCATTGGGAGAGGCCTATGTTCAGCAGTGGACGTCCTATGGCTGAAATGATGATGAGTGATGTTTTGTGTAACTTTCTAAACTAATTAAACTGCTAATGACAGCTGGAATAAACTGGATGCAAGTGACCAGGGACAGAAGTTGGTGGAAAGTTGAAGAGGAGGTCTATGTTCGCAGACGAACTCCTAATGCTATAGATAGATAGATAGATTGGCAGCAGAAAAAAAACTGAACGTAGGAAAGTCAAAACAAAAAATCTTTATTTATTCTTTAGCACTGGTCCTTGGTTCTGACGGAAGAAACTGAAGACTGGTACTGGCAAGGTACTGTACTTTACCGTCCGTGAATCGACGCTGAGATGTGCCGTTTAAAAGTTTTATTTCTTCTAGGTTGTGTGTAGGATGCAATAAAGATTTATCTTTTCTTGGATAGTAAGTATTCAACTAGAAGGCCTAAGTTAATGTAAGAATATACTGTATATTTTCCTGAAATAAATACTAAACATTGCTCACTAGTGATTTAATTTTGTTGACTTGATGTCTATTCCCACCTCTCGTTCCCACCGCTGCAACTCCTGTGTAGCCAGGATCTACAGCTTGACCGCCAATAAAAACCCAACCAGTGAAGGTCAGTTGATGTCTATAGTAGGTATTACATATGTATGCTGAGAAGATGATCTTCTGTGTCCAGTCTACTCACTTCTCCTTATCCTTCATCGCGTAGACGAGAGCCTCGGCCCAGACGTAGGCGCCGACCGAGAAGCCGTGCAGCACCAGCGGCTCGTGCCCGTTCGCGGCCATGAACTTCATGAGGCTTGCTCCGACCAGCTGAAACACGAAATTGTTTTATTCAGTATCAGGTTTAAATTTTTGACAGGGGTTCTATCTACTAAATCTAAACTAATCTACCAAAAGATGAATGAAAGAAAGAAGATGTTTTCAGCTGTTTCTATTGTCAGCCTAATGGTTTAGGCATTAGATCAGTCTCCTTTAGGCGATTATCACACTGCACCGCGCTTCACCGCGGTACGCGGGACGACAGATTTAAGGCGATTAGAGTCCTCAATGACCTTGGGCGTTTGACCTTCACGCCGCGAGCAACACCCGCGTACCCCGCACCAAAAACTCCGATTTGACACCGATCAAAAATACACGGGCATAGGTAGATACNATTGTACATCCACATTCCACAGTGCTTTCAAACCTGCCTGCGACACCTGTATGCATAGGGGTTCAATATCGGTAGCCTAACATCCTGGTGGGTACTGCACCATTCTTGGGTCCACCCCCCATAAATACACCTATAGGGACTGCCGAACTGTCAGAGCATAATGCGTCCTGTGGATCAGTGTTACCTTGACGCCTAGGTTGACCCAGCTATCGTGCACGCTGCGGTTACTTCGCTCGGCGCCTACGGGGTCACTACGGGACAGTAGGAACAGCGCGGGCGCACGACACGGGGTCTTGTGGAAGAGATCTGACGCACGCAGGTAATGCGACGTCGCAGCGTCGTGGAACTTCTTCAAGTGGTATCTAATACAAGAGTTTTCAATTATAATGCAACTCAGTGTAAAACGGCCTGGCCTGGATGAAAGCGGTTCAAGACCGGTATTGTAGAAATCCTTGGGGGAGTTTGTCCAACAGTGGACGTCATTTGGCCTTTGGATAAAACGGCACATAGCTCGTAGAACTGATGGCCGTTGGAGCAGAAAAGTTCTCGAGTGGCGACAATGGGCCGGAAGACGGAGTGTGGGCAGGCCTACCATTAGGTGGATCGACGTTCTGATGAAGGTCGCGGGAAGCACCTGGATGCTGGCAGTACCGGTCACTGTGGAAATTCTTGGGGGAGAGGAGGACTTTGTCCAGCAGTGGACGTCACTTGGCTGCAATGAAGGAACAGTAAAAAAATCTGCGAGAAAACTAGTATGGCCATATTATGTCAGTGATTGTTTTTCTATATGACTGTCGTCCTTCTTTGCATTTATAGATGTGCTCGCTAGCGAGTTCGTAAAAAAATCTATGAAGATTTTAGAACACTTGAAAGTAGCCGCTAGGGGCGCTTTTTCTTGAATTTTTTTTAGCAGTCCCTAGCGAGCATACATAATGTGTGAACTCATGATAACCACAGACGTCATAAACAGTACTGTATTTTTTTAACAACCAAACAAATTAGGTACTTACTTGGTATAGGTCCTTAAGGCGTTCTGTAGGAACATATTCTTCGGGAACACAGCGGAGGGGAAGCCGACGGGAATCTCGGTGATGTCGGCCGCCGAGTCCCACACTTGAGCGCGCACTCGGTCCAGGACTGGTTGGTATCTGAGAAGAAGTTTTATACGTCTTGACTGGTATTATGGTGTTTTGTGTGACAAAATCTTAACTTTCTAAACTATTATTATACTCATCATCTCAGCCACAGGACGTCCACTGCTGAACATAGGCCTCCCCCAATGCTTTCCATGTTACCCGGTTGGTAGCGGCCTGCGTCCAGCTCCTTCCTGCTACCTTTATGATGTCGTCGGTCCACCTTGTGGGTGGACGTCCCACGCTGCGTTTTCCGGTACGCGGCCTTTTTATATTACTGTTAAGCTATTGACAGCTGGAATATGCTGGATGCAAGTGGCCAGAGATAGAAGTCGGTGGAAAGTTGAAGAGGAGGTCTATGTTCGCAGACGAACCCCAAAGGCTGCTATATAGATAGATAGAAACATATTGAGTATTAAAATAGATTGGCTTTAGAAAAAAAAACTGAACATAGGAAAATCAAAACAAAAAATCTTTTCACTGGTCACTGGTTCTGACAGAAGAAAAAAGGTATGGTTTACTGAACTTTACCGACCGTTAACCGATGCAGAGATGAGCCGATTCAAAGTTTTATTTCTTCTATTTACTAGTTTTGTGTCAAGTATGCAATAAAGATTTATTTTATCTTTTCTCGGATAGTAAGTATTCAACTAGAAGGCCTAAGTTAATGTAAGAATATACTGTATATTTTCCTGAAATAAAAACTAAACATTGCTCACTCATGACTTGTTGACGGCTACCTAAGTAAACTCCGTCAAACGTTAGTTCGACATTACGTTACTCCGACACTAATGAATACACTACTCAGACAAAGGATATTCGCCTTTGTCTAAGTAGTATAGTGTTGAAGTATTTTATTTCCCTTTTTGACGGGACTATTCCCACCTCTCGTTCGCACCCCTGTGCCTGCAACTCCTGTGTAGCCAGGATCAACAGTTTGACCGCCAATAAAAACCCAACCAGTGAAGGTCAGTTGATGTCTATAGTAGGTATTACATATGTATGCTGAGAAGATGATCTTCTGTGTCCAGTCTACTCACTTCTCCTTATCCTTCATCGCGTAGACGAGAGCCTCGGCCCAGACGTAGGCGCCGACCGAGAAGCCGTGCAGCACCAGCGGCTCGTGCCCGTTCGCGGCCATGAACTTCATGAGGCTTGCTCCGACCAGCTGAAACACGAAATTGTTTTATTCAGTATCAGGTTTGACTTTTTGACAAGGGTTCTTCTATCTATACTATCTTTGAAATAAACTATTGTATTCTATTCTACTAAATCTAAACTAATCCACCAAAAGATGTTGTCGTCGTTTTCAACTATTGCTATTGTCACCCTAATGTTTTAGGCATTAGATTGGACTCCCTTCTTATCTAAGACTCCCTTAGACCGCTAATGCCGCTAATCTACTCCCTAGACAAGTGGCAAAACGTGACAGTTATAATTTCTAAATCGCTTACGGATTAAATGTAAACACGCCAGAGTGAAGGGGTAGTATTTATTTTTTATTGAATATTGGTTTACCAACAACTTATCCACTGTTTCGAAATTACTTCTACTGTTTTGCCTACCATCTTATCCTGATACTAGCCATTTGGAGTGGCCTGATCGCATATTTAACGACATCCGCTGAAATATTGGGGCTGATTTTATTCAACTCTGCTGGATTACTCATAATGACGATGTGTAGTGCATTACTATAACAATATATTAGCCTGAGAAGAACTCAGAAGAAGCAAAAAGATATACAAACCTGTGATCCCTTCAAGGGCCACATGAGCTGCCACGGCGAGCAGGACACGGAGACCACGTCGAAGCCTTGCTCCAGGTATAACGAGGCATACTTCTGGACGTGCTGCGGCCGCGCCAGCATCCAGTTCATGATGATACATAGAGGTTTGTTGGGCTCCTTGTCCAATCTGAAAACAAGCGCAGGTTCTTAGTATTTTCTGGCTTCTATTGAGCGTCGTTTCACGCTCAAAACTCAGTTTTGAATTGAGTAAGGCATGGATTATGTAGATGATTCGGTTAAATACATTCAACAGTCAGTTGTAAAGAGATTGAATCAGGTTTTGAACATTGAAGTATAGTTAGTAGGTACATTTTTTTTTTTTTTTTTTTTTTTTTTTTTTNGATTATTACCAATTTGTATTACCCAAATTACTAATAGTCCCATTAGCCCCTCATGGTAAGCTAAATAAGCTTGTGTTACGAGTGGGCTCACCACAATACTCGAGCGGCGGTGGGATTCGAACCCGCGTTCCTCGTATCTCGAGTCGGCCACACCGACCCCTTCACCGTTCGGCTATCGTGGTTATAATTATTTATAACTCAATGGTTTTGAATGACTTCTCGTGCATGGCGCACGAGACAATTCGAAATTGTTTTGAACAGTGTACATTACATTTACGGCCAAGGTTGATTTTTTGTTTCTATTTTTATTTTCTCAAACTTAAACCTTGTACTGTAAAGAAAATTGCAACAAAGGTAACTACATATTATGTGCAAATACAATGTCAACTATTTTTTTATGAATGCTATGAGTGAAGATGATATTTTAGCAGGAAGATGGATAATTTTACCGATTATAAACGTACGAGTACGAAGGATAAGATTAAGCGACCGTAGGTACACACAACTATGCCCTGACCTGTAAATTTTTTTGTATGGAGTTACTTCGCTCCGTGAGTGCAGGGATTCGATTTTAGGAGCAATCAAAAAGTGCCACTTGTCTAGAGCCCTTTGTGTACATGTCAGAACTTACTTCATAGTTGTAGGATCCGCAGTGAGCTTGACCTTCTCATTGCTGATATACTGCAGGTTTTGACTGAGGGCTTGCGAGTGCAGCAGCCGGCTGCCTTGATTGCCCAAAGCTGGCGGTAGAACCAACAATATTCTGGGGCATGGCTGGAAAAAAGAAGTATTTGTTACAGACAAGCACCACATAGTTTCGGGTGGATAAAAGTACATGTAGTCTTAAAGTTAACGGTTTCGTTAATACTTGGGATATCCAAGTGGAATGGAAATAATTGTTGTGTAGTTTAATATTTGTTTTAAATCCCGCGTAAATTATGCTTGCTACGTTTGTCACAATACTTAGTCCAGCGGGCGACGGGGTTCGAACCCGCGTTCCTCGGATCTCGATTCGGCCAGCACGACACCAACATCACTGGGATATTATTGTCGCTAATTTTGATTATTTACGCTAGGAATTAAAATTTTACTTACTTGACTCCTAAATCTTTTGGGCAAGGCGAATAAAGAGGAACGTAGCGCAGCCATTATTGCAGATAATCCTAGAATTAAATAAAATTAGGTATAGTAATTATTTTATAAAATATTATCTCAAATTATTATTTCTTAACTCGAAAATATCGGATTGCCGCAGTTGGGAATTTATCCTACGACCTTTCGCTTGCTGGGCGCCTACGCACCTGTCTGATTGTCTCTGCAATCCGTGGGTTCAATTCCCATCTGTAGCAATTTGATGTTTTTTTAAGTTTGATAAGAATGATGTACCTACCTACCTGTAGTTTTAAAGTTTTAGGTCATATCTAAGTGCGTAGATAATGCTACAGATATTCATTCCTTTCGTTATAGATTATTAATTCATTAACATCATTTATGCGATCAATTGGTCGGTAGCAACAATTGAAAGAAGATCTATGGGTATAGATGTCCTCATTTTAATTTAATTATAGGTAGTCGACAGAACTAGCAATAAGCAATGAATAGAGAAAAAGTTTTTGAAATTTGTATAGTCAATTTAAACTCGGCACCCGGTATATTTTTTTAAATAGGAAACTCGATTCCCATACGTATTAAGCACGCACTTAGTTTAAAAGCAATGGAAAGGTAGGTAGGTACATTATATGCCGTAATCTACTTACTACTTTAGTGTTAAACAATAATAATTATTATAATGACAACATAAATATGTACTTACATTCGAGTGTCCCGGTTCGTAATGTATGCATCTTTTCAAACATACATTGTATACAAATCAACCATTAGCATTTAGTTGAGGCATTGAGGTCATACATAATTTACCACACACAATAGTTAGTTGTTAAGCGATATTTAGTGGTTAAATTGACGAAAACAAACTAAAATGAACACGCGCGTTCTGTGTGTTTTACAAGAATAAACTGACTGTGTTTATTGGTAAGCCGGCCGGCATCCACCGACCGCGATATGACATCATATGGGGGCGGCGGGTCATTCAACTGTTAGATCGATTGCGGCTAAATGACCTTTGTATATGAGCGGGAAGCTTCAAACGACCTTGCTTTTTATGTAGGTAGGTGCTGGAGATATGCAAAATCAGGGCATGGTATTATGCACCTTAATGTTAGTGCTATTGTGGTTAATTTTCTGACGATATAGTACTCGTACAAGTAAGCCAATTGACGTTTTATTTATTGAAATCTTATCAAGTAGATTAAAAGAAAAATACCTACTAGTTTTATTCCTTTCAGTTTTCGTTCATTTAACTTTGACCCGAATTAGCATATTTTACAAAGCACCACTCAGTTTTTTTGTTAATATCGCTGACGTAGGTTCTGTTACTATGCTATCTTTGAATCTTATCGCTCCAAGTGGTAGATGAGCTTTATTGATAAGTCTGCTATGTGATGTGGTTGCGCGGAATGAGGTCAAATTAGGCTAGAATTAATGGAACGAATTCCTTACAGCGTCTAGTTTTTCTGCTCTTCACGCAAAATATTGTATTTGTAATGTACTGGATTCGACTTCATTTATAAGAGGTATTCACTCAAAAAGACTTTAATTAATTGGCGTAATTAGATGGTCCGAAAAATATGTACATACATTCATGTACCAAGTACGAGTAGGTATATCAGAAGGATAGATGACATAATTATCCAAGATAATACGAGTACACCAGAGGTCACCGGTTCGATTCACGAATTAATGGGCGTTTTATATGTATATCAGTTGTCTGGAAATATGATAAAATTGCTTGGTTTTGGACTAGATGGCGCTGTAAGTGTCCAAGATAAAAAAGACAATAATCTCCACGTCCTCAATAAGAACACATTTTATGATTTTACAAAAATGTATTTATTAAACTAACTCATAGTGCGTATATAAATGTTAACTAAATATAAAAGTATCTTATAATTAAAATATTATTATATCCATCTTCGCCATAAGGTGTTAACAACCATTTCTTTCGATGACAATTTGTATACGAATTACGAATATTCGACTAATACCTACCAAGTCTTTGAATTGTACATTAAATTGACAGTAACCTTTGCCATTTAGTCTTAAATTATTAATTTATGTCGCTTACAATGTCGCATCCGAATATAGTAAGTATACTTAACAAAATACTAGTTTACGTATAGTCCACGCCGATATCATTTAATAAACATAAAATCTGTTGGTTCGACCCGCCAGCGGTTCGCGTTAAGTATTTTAAGTTGTTACAACGTTCATTTGTCTTGAATCAACCGCCATATTGATTTGCGCCATTCCCTGATTTTTCAATTTATCATAACCAATATACAAACCGCTGCCTTACCTATATTTTTTCTCACTCATATAATATCAAGCCTAAAAGTTGCACTTAAGAGTAGATCTTATTACGCTAAAAATAAGAGCGATATTAAGATCAAATGTGAAGTCTAATGTGCTTATTTGTGTACAATAATGTTTGCATTAATTTATCAATTCCTTAATACGATACGAAACAAAAGTTAGAAGAATCGCTATGGGCTGTTTTAAAAATTTTGACTAAATAAAGTGCGGCTAATTCTAATCAAGTCTTAATTTATTCTTATTGCATCTAAATCGACACAAATACACGTGCAGTGAAATATATAATTTAAATAACAATGCTCATTGTCTTGTAAATCGTTACAAATAATAAGTAAATAGGTTGAATTTACATCATGTATTTTAGTTCGACGGTCTATCTGTCATTGTCGCTCATGCTGGCATTTCGCTTTGCGTGAGAGGGATAGCAACATTCGAAACGTTTTTCGAAGTAGTTGCTTCCACTTGACACCATATAACTCGGTTCTCTATGATGGTGTGGAAAAGTTTCTACGTTTGCGCAGTCCCATAATATTAATTTTATGAGGCACGCTCAGTGACGAAGTGACGATGCATGCCATAAGAATTTGATTTCATAAACTCCAAAATAGGAACTATAAGACTAATGCTGCTGCACTAGTGACAAATAATAGAATTTCCTCCCAAAATATAAGAAACAATATAATTTTAAATTTACCTGCCATATTTAAGACACCTTATTTTCAGTCACATCAAATCAACTACGATCTCTTGTTTAAAAGCCTGCGTCCGTATTATAAATCATAATTTGCCAATGTTAAAAAAATCAGTTTTTCAAATTGTTTATTATTAATGTTCAGAATAAAGTTTTTCTAGTTTTGTTATGTTAGTAATATTGCATAATTATTCCCAACGGTATAACTTCGAATGTATCGCTTTAGTATTCAATAAAAGTTCGTTAGCAGCGATATTGAAAGTCGACGTCATAAGCAATATTACTAGAGAAGAAATATTACCATGGCTGTTTTAAGAGAGTACACCGATGGAACATAACACCGTTTAGTCCCTTAAAAGTATAAAGTTACTCGAATCGCGACACAAATATTCTACTTTGGGTTTCGATCTTTTGTTCGTTAATTAAAAGCAGGCTATACCATCCGCTTTTGCATTCGCATTCATTTCGCAGCCTTGGCTTTATGCAACATATTTTTCCATTAAGTAAGTTTTCATTCTTTTTGAAACAGTTGTCGGTAGGTAACAACTTCTTTTAGGGTTTGTTAAAAATCCATATTCTAAAACATTTCCTCGATTTCATCCAAAAACTCTCAACTCAAGAGTAAAATAAGAGTAAAATTTTGACAGATCAACTCATTATGTGAGAGTCTCAGAACCTTTCAAATGCGGCGGTTACGTTCCATTTTGTCCAGAAACCCCGCATCAAAAACATTACTTTGTTCAAAAATAATCCTTAGTGCACACCACACAAAACTGATAATCACAATCACAAGAAAGGTCAACCTTTTCTTCCATTAACTTTAGTATAAGAATACAAAGATTTCCTTGAGGATTCTTACGCTAAGTAAACCATAGAGAAACTTAGGAATACAGCGGGGTTATTACGAATCTTAGCATGTGACTGCGAAAAATGTATGAAAACTAGCGCCATCTATAATTTATTGGCGTAGCATACGCGTTGCATTCAATAGGGAATATGCATCGATTTTTAAACTTTAGTTAAATCATAGAATTTCTCAAAAACCAGTATTGAAATCGGACTGGAAACAAAAAAGTTACAAAGTTTTATTTGTATGGAAATAGCTGAGCGTGACGTCAAATGTCACCCGCCCATAGTAACTTGTATGGGACTCTGCGTGTCGCTCTAACATGACCAATGACGTCATGAGATCTCTAACGAGATAATAACTTAAGCGGCCAAGACTACTGAAATCCTACTAATATTATAAATGCGAAAGTTTGGATATCTTGATTTTTGTTACTCTTTCACGCAAAAACAACTGAACGGATTTTGATGAAACTTTACAGTATATATAACCCATAATAACATATAGGCTATAATTTACGACGATCTGTGACAAACTGAATTTCACGCGAGTGAAGTCGCGGGCAACAGCTAGTGTGAGAAATAAAAAATCCTTGCATATTCCCTATTAGCAATCGGTTGCTTATTCGTAATAACCCCGCGGGTGTACGGTTTCTGTACTACATTATGTAGCTTACAAGGTTATTATTATATTATTATAACCTCTGACGCATCTTCTCCGGCTGCGAGAGTAGACCGTAGGCGTGGAGATGGTTGTACAGGGCTTCCACGTATTCCTTCTTGTGGTAGTTGTAGTGTTGGACGTGTGGTGAGCGGTCCCAGCATTTCCATGTGCACTGCGAGAATGAAAATAATGCTTTTAGAATATTATAATCAATAAATCTGTAAGTTATGTCATTTTGGTAATAAAAGTTCTAATAAAAATGACATAAATCGTTACGGACCGCAGGGAGAACCAAAGTGACTGACAGAAGACATAGCCCGCAGAATCGCTAAAATCAAGTGGCAGTGGGCGTAGTAGGGAATTTAGTGCAAGAACCCCTCCACTTTGGTATAGAAGGCTCATTTTTGCAACAGTGGTTATTTGGGTGCTCCTGAGTGGATTTCCGTCGGTAGACATCGGGAGCCCCCCCTGTGGTAGCAGGGGGAGGGGGGGCAAGTTTCCTTCCGCCACGCTTCACTTTAAAACCCATATCTTCAAAACTATGGGTATTAGGGCAAGTGTGGTATCATTTTCGGATAATTAAAGGATGGCGAATTCAATTCTAGAACAAACTTTTTGCCTTTTGATACAAAAAAACAGAAATATTGAGTAAAAATCACAAAAACCAAAAAGTATTTTTTTAAATAAACGTCGTTTACTTTTAAACCACTGGAGATAATCTAATAAAAAAAATATGACCTGAAAGCTACATTTATCAGGATTATAAAAATATAACATTGTATGGTACTTTTTTCGCAAAAAGTAGGTGAAAAAAATTTTTTCTTCAGGACACAGCGGGCGAATTTTATTGCGCATCGGAAAAAAATATTTATTTTATCCATGAATTCATACTATTTGGTTCATAAGCAAGCAAGGATTATTATTTTAGAATTTATTTGCTGGCACATCAATCTACCATAATTTGTATTTTTTTGTCAATTGATTTTGAACTCTATGTGTGAGACATAAGCTTAAATGCATTTTAATATAGAAAATATCATAAGAAGAAAGCACTAAATAAAGAACTTTAATTTGTCTAAACGTCTTAATGATTATTATTATTTTAATTAACACTTTTATTTCTACATAGTACTATTGTACCAGTGATTTAACGGAAAGGTAAGTGTGAAGAAAATGAGGTTTCACAATCATAGTACGGGAGATATTTTTAGCACAAAGGTTACGGCTGTGACCGTTTTAGTTGTTTTTTTCAGACATCACCAGATTCTGCACTACTTCTTGCACTTACATCTCACCATTTCCAGGCAAGCCTCGGCAGCTACGGGCAAACCGGTCCATGTAGGCTCCGTCTTGCTATCGGCTCTGGTCCACCCCCAACCAGTCGGGTAAAGGGAAGACTGAGTCGGTTGCTTGCAACTAATCCTATACGCGAATCCCTTGATATACTGCCAGTAGCCAAGGCTGATACAAAGCTGCTGCTGCTGTCTGGGTTATCTTATGTAGGGCCTAAGCTAAGCTAAGCTAGGTCTAAGCGTAGTCCACAGCGACCCATTAGGATCCATATGCTCCATTTTTTTTTATCTCTATCTTCCAAAAAAATCCTATCCATTAGGTGAATTAAGCGTCTGAGTGAAAGCCTTCTAAGCCTTCTGATGCCGGTTATGCTGACCCAAGCAGACCCATCCTTACAGTATTGATTCATGGACCCCACATGTATTCCACATGCTCGAGAGCTGTCTTCTGTTGTTAGGCCCATTTTGTGAGACATGTGGTTCGTTCCATAATGCCCAGTTTGCGTACCAGTAATTGCTTGGGCTTAGGTACCTTTTATTTCTTTCAGGCTTTCAGGTCATATTTTTTTTATTAGATTATCTCCAGTGGTCCTTAAAGTGAAGCGCGGCGGAAGGAAACTTGCCCCCCCTCCCCCTGCTACCACTGGGGGGGCTCCCGATGTCTACCGACGGAAATCCACTCAGGAGCACCCAAAGAACCACTGTTGCAAAAATGAGCCTTCTATACCAAAGTGGAGGGGTCTCCATACAAATCATTGCACTAAATTCCCTACTAGCGGGGCACATAGCTCGTAGAGCTGATGGCCGCTGGGGAAGAAAAGTTCTCGAGTGGCGACCACGAGCCGGAAGACGTAATGTGGGCAGGCCCCACACAAGGTGGACCGACGATCTGGTAAAGGTCGCGGGAAGAGCCTGGATGAGGGCGGCGCAGGACCGGTCTTTGTGGAAAACCTTGGCGGAGGCCTTTTTTCAACAGTGGACGTCTTTCGGCTGAACCGAACGAACGAAATCGTTACGGGGTTGCTACGGGACAACTGTAACAGCGCGGGCGCGAGACCCAGAATCCCGTGGAACATCAGTGTTACCTTGATGCCCAAGTTGATACACGCTGCGATTACTACGCTCGATGTATACGGGGTCGCTACGGGACAGAAGAAACAGCGCGGAACATTAGTGTTACCTTGACGCCCAGGTTGACCCAGCTATTATGCACGCTGCGATTACTACGCTCGATGTATACGGGGTCGCTACGGGACAGTGGAAACAATAATAATAATATAATAATAAAGTTATTTATTCGCTCCAAAATTACAGTAAGTCTTAACCTATTTAGAGATTACAATTCAAGTGAACTATTGGGTTAGGTTACGTCGGCAGCCGTACTAGTATAAACTGTGTCACAGCTGCCTGCGCCTTCCTCCCGAGGATCTGTATCATAATTCTTTTAACAGGAAAAGAACAAAACAATCTAATTAAATTAAATTAAAAAAGTAGGTTTAATGTTTGTTTACCACAGTCAATCAAGTATGTGTGAGGTAAGTATATGTGTGTGCGTGCATGCAAAGGTTTGGTTTATGTAGGATATTGGAGAATTTTCTCCGTCTCATCGTAATTTAGATTTAATAACCAGTCACGTATTTTGTCTTTACATTCTTTCGATGTAAGGGGGTAAATATTATTTATTTTATTAGCAAAATTATAGAGAAATGAGCCCATCACATAGAAACTGCGCCCAGCTAAAAGTGTCCGGTGGGGCACGGGAGAGCATACTTTACTCTTGTTGCGCTTATATAAAGGTGCGTACACGAGGCTCTTATGTTTCCGCAGAATGGTATTAACAATAAACAGTTGTCTCACAGTCAGAACTACACATTCTTGGTAAATGAGAGATGTACTATACCTAAGTGGTTTTCCTAACATGACTTTGAGAATTGAGCGCTGAGCGCGCTCCAGGGGAAGTAATGTACTGGTGGAGGAGCCACCCCACGCAACAATGCAGTATTGGAGTAAAGATTGCACAAGAGCATAGTATACACAAACCAATGTATCACGATCAGCAGAGTTCCTCAGTTTACGGAAAATGGGCATTAGTTTTCTGATACGAGATGTTAAATTTTGGNTTAGTACTAAACAGCGGGGTGTCAGACTGAGCTAGCTAAGACGCCCCGTTGCACTACTAATATTATAAATGCGAAAGTTTGGATATCTGGATGTTTGTTACTCTTTCACGCAAAAACAACTGAACGGATTTTGATGCAACTTTACAGTATATATAACCCATAATAACATATAGGCTATAATATACGACGATCTGTGACAAACTTAATTTCACGCGAGTGAAGTCGCGGGCAACAGCTAGAGTGAGAAATAAAAAATCCTTGCATAATCCCTATTAGCAATCGCTTGCTAAGATTCATAAAACCCCGCGGGTGTACGGCTTCTATACTACATTACGTAGCTTCAAGGCGGTGTTATTATAACCTCTGACGCATCTTCTCCGGCTGCGAGAGTAGACCGTAGGCGTGGAGATGGTTGTACAGGGCTTCCACATACTCCTTCTTGTGGTAGTTGTAGTGTTGGACGTGGGGTGAACGGTCCCAGCATTTCCATGTGCACTGTGGGAAGAATAATATTTTTAGAATACTATCTAAATATAAAACTCAAAGGTGACTGACTGACTGACATAGTGATCTATCAACGCACAGCCCACACGGATCGGGCTGAAATCTGGCATGCAGTTAGATACTATGACGTAGGAATCCGCTAAGAAAGAATTTTACGAAACTCCACCCCTAAGAGAGTAAAACGGGATCCACGCGTATGAAGTCGCCGGGCGGCCGCTAGTCATTGATAAATCTGTAAGTTATGTAATTTTGCTAATAAATGTTCTAATAAAAATGGTATAAATCGCGGTACGGGGTCGCTATGGGACAACTGTATAAATCGATTCATCCACAAAGACGCGCCACCATTTTTCTGCGAATGTTTGAGTGTTATCGGTACACGCTAAATGATCCATGAGCGCACACGCACACTACAATAATGCCGCTCGGATTGCTCGGATCAAACTCCCCGCACCCCGCGCGACCGAGACCAAAAATTGGTGGGGCGCGTCTTCGTGGATAAAACGATCTATAACAGCGTGGGACTTTAGTGTGTCCCGTGGAACATTAGTGTTGAAGCCCGGTTGACTTAACTATCATGTACGCTGCGATATTAAAAGAAATCCGCATCAAACAGCGCCTATCAACCACGATTCAGTCACGCATTTTAACCTTCTTCGGCTATGTATTTCGGCGCAGTAATGACTCCATAGAGCGTCTCGTACGTAGTGCAGGGAAAAGTTGAAGGCACCAGACCACGTGGTAGATCACCAATGAGATGGACGGACCAGATTAAGGCCGCAACTAAGTGCTCGGTTAGCGAAAGTACCCTTAAAGCTGCAATCCGCGAGAAATGGCGCCGTATTACGAGGAACATCACTCTGAATCGTGATTCACAATGATGGCCACGACCACTCTGACAAGAGTGTACCGACTGAGAAGAAGCGCTGCGATAACTACGCTCGGCATCTACGGGGTCAATACTCGCTACGGGACAGTAGGAAGAACAGCGTGGGATATTAGTGCGTCCTGTGGAACATTAGTGTTACCTTGACGCCCAGGTTGACCCAGCTATCATGCACGCTGCGATTGCTACTCTCAGCGCCTACGGGGTCGCTACGGGACAATATTAACAAAGCGTCCCGTGAAATTCAATTCAAAAATTCAAATTCAAAAATTCAAAATTTCTTTATTTTCTTATAAGACACATTTACAGGGGTTGGGTGTCTCCTTTTAAGTTTAGAAAACCTGTATTAGAAGACGCCCGCTCTTTCGATCAGTTTTATACAATAAGAAAATAAATAAAATTACATGATTTTTTACTTACAAATTAATTTGTACCAAAAAGTTGTGTGAGTATGAGATATTGTGTGTGTGGGTTTGTGTGAATGTGTGCATGCGTTAGTTACCTTGACGCCCAGGTTGACCCAGCTATCATGGACGCTGCGATTGCTGCTCTCGGCGCCTACGGGGTCGCTACGGGACAACATTAACAAAGCGTCCCGTGAAATATTAGTTACCTTGACGCCCAGGTTGACCCAGCTATCGTGCACGCTGCGATTACTGCTTCCAACGTCTACGGGGTCATTACGGGACATTAGTGCGTCCCATGAAACATTAGTGTTACCTTAACGCCCAGGTTGACCCAGCTATCATGCACGCTGCGATTACTGCTTCCAACGTCTACGGGGTCATTACGGGACATTAGTGTGTCCCATGGAACATTAGTGTTACCTTAACGCCCAGGTTGACCCAGCTATTATGCACGCTGCGATTGCTACGCTCGATGTATACGGGGTCGCTACGGGACAGAAGAAACAGCGCGGAACATTAGTGTTACCTTGATGCCCAAGTTGACCCAGCTATCATGTACGCTGCGGTTACTGTTCTCGGCGCCTACGGGGTCGCTACGGGACAGCAGAAACAACGCGGAACATTAGTGTTACCTTGACGCCCAGGTTGACCCAGCTATTATGCACGCTGCGATTACTGCTTCCAACGTCTACGGGGTCATTACGGGACATTAGTGTGTCCCATCCCATGGAACATTAGTGTTACCTTGACGCCCAGGTTGACCCAGCTATCGTACACGCTGCGATTGCTGTTCTCGGCGCCTATGGGGTCGCTACGGGACAATATTAACAAAGCGTCCCGTGAAATATTAGTTACCTCGACCCCCAGGTTGACCCATCTATCATGCACGCTGCGATTGCTGCTCTCGGCCCCTAGGGGGTCGCTACGGGACAGAAGAAACAGCGCGGAACATCAGTGTTACCTTGATGCCCAAGTTGATACACGCTGCGATTAATACGCTCGGCTCTTACGGGGTCGCTACGGGACAGAAGAAACAGCGCGGAACATTAGTGTTACCTTAACGCCCAGGTTGACCCAGCTATCATGGACGCTGCGATTGCTGCTCTCGGCGCCTACGGGGTCGCTACGGGACAGAAGAAACAGCGCGGAACATTAGTGTTACCTTAACGCCCAGGTTGACCCAGCTATCATGGACGCTGCGATTGCTGCTCTCGGCGCCTACGGGGTCGCTACGGGACAATATTAACAAAGCGTCCCGTGAAATATTAGTTACCTTGACGCCCAGGTTGACCCAGCTATCGTGCACGCTGCGATTGCTGCTCTCAGCGCCTACGGGGTGGCTCCGGGACAGCAGGAATAACGCGGAACATTAGTGCGTCCCGTGGAACATCAGTGTTACCTTGATGCCCAAATTGATACACGCTGCGATTAATACGCTGGGCTCTTACGGGGTCGCTACGGGACAACAGAAACAGCGCGGAACATTAGTATTACCTTGACGCCCAGGTTGACCCAGCTATCGTGCACGCTGCGATTGCTGCTCTCAGCGCCTACGGGGTGGCTCCGGGACAGCAGGAATAACGCGGGACATTAGTGCGTCCCGTGGAACATCAGTGTTACCTTGATGCCCAAATTGATACACGCTGCGATTAATACGCTCGGCTCTTACGGGGTCGCTACGGGACAACAGAAACAGCGCGGAACATTAGTATTACCTTGACGCCCAGGTTGACCCAGCTATCATGCACGCTGCGATTGCTGCTCTCAGCGCCTACGGGGTCACTACGGGACAGCAGGAACAGCGCCGGCGCATGACACAGCGTGCTGTGGAACATCTGCGACGAGCGAATGTAGTGTGTGGTGGCCGCGTCGTGGAAAGTCCTCAGGTGGTACCTGAAAATAAAATAAAAATACTATTACAGTTCGTCCGCTAAGAGAATGCAGCACTACAATCCGGACGAGTTAGCTGCGTAACTAGCGGCTGTGACGTCACTTCGACGCTTTGGTTCGGACGTGGCAAACGTGGAGAGGTCCGCACACCTCTCCACGTTTGCCACGTAGAGTCGCATTCCATCGAGATACACACGGCCACAGTGTTAACTATCCATTACCGTTTTTGCTCCCGCTCTCATCAAATGGTGATTCTTTGCGATAGAAAGAGACGACATGGCAATGGCCAGTTAACACTGTTGCCGATAGTACGTTCGCAGTTAGCTCGATCAAGTTGTATAATCAACTCTATTATGATGATGACAGGTAATAATTTTCAGCTACAGGTCAGCAGCTGAGAGAATGGGTCCCTGACATCCTTCCTGATATTGTTTATTACACGCTCGCTACGTTTAATATCACCGAAAAGGTCACCTTTTGACATAAGCATAATTCATATTAGAGTAGGCACACACCGTTGATTTTTAGTTGGCCGATAGTTGTGCCCGATTTTAAATTGTATGAAGAATCGGCCAAATCGAATCGTATTCCCATACATGCCCATACTGATCAACTGCCCGACTAAACTATCGGCCGACGAAAAATCAACGGTGTGCGCCTATTCTTACTGTGTTCAGTAGGTAATTCAGAAAAAATCTGGCTGAATGTCTGGTCCATTCAATCCAAAGTCCATTGCCGCTTTTTCGAGTTCCGTCTAATTTTGGAAGATCAGGCGATATTTTTAGATTACCTACTCAATGCCAAAATAAAATTCGGCAACACACGTTTTTCACAAGTTTTGACTACACGTGTCACGATAAGATTAAAATTACGCAATCAAATACGTGACGATAGTATTTTCAAATTTCCTGTATCTTATTTGATTACAAATGTATTATCTTTATCTCTGAAACTAGCTGTCCCCGCGACTTGGTACGCGTGAGAATAGTTTGAATAATATTTCCAATATTTTTCTTTACTGCTCCGCCCCTATTGGCTGTAGGGTGATGCTATAATAGCCTAAAGCCTTCCTCGATAAATGAGCTATCCAACATAAAAATATTTTTTTTTAAATCAGACCAGTTAGTTCCTGAGATTAGCGCGTTCAAGCAAACAAAAACTTTTCAGCTTAATAATATTAGTATAGATAGTAATATGTATAGTATAAAATGGAAGGTTTAAAATACAAAAACAAACACTTTGTCGGCCTTCCACATGTATTATACAGTGTGAGTCACGTTAAAGTGTACACATGAAAATAGATGAAACTAGACCTATTTTTATCGACAAAAAAGAGGTCAAAAAATTTTTTTAATTTTTTTTTTATTTTTTATAGAATTTTTTTTCTTCCAATTACGTATTGTAAAGAAAACGTAATAACTTTTAAACTAAGCGGTATATCCTGATAAAATAAAAACAGTAATAATGCTAAATAACAGGCAATACTAAAAAAATACATAAAATACACAAAAAAGGCCAACAAATAAAAAAAATGATACTTTTTGAAAAAAATCTGCTTTTAAATTCGTGTTTTTTTGGTTATTTGATAAATTCCTCAAAAAAATGCCCATATAACCGGTGGTTTTTACTACTTTGTATTATTCTCTATCGTATTACCTTCGTAAAACCAAAAATCGCATGTCTCTATCCCTATCACAACATTTGCAATGATCGTTTGAACTAAGCCTCTCCGGGCGCGCTATTCAACGCTTCGTTAACAACGAAACTGAAAATGGCTCTAGATTTGTAATTTAGATAAAGACAAGTTAGATTTCAAATAGAAACAAAAGATTTCGAAGTAAAATAAGCATTTTAGTTAAAATTAAAATTTTCTCTACCTGCAGCGGAGAATAATGTTGTGGCAGGCCTTTGTTCAAACACTTATAGCAAATGTTGCGATAGGGATAGAGACATGCGATTTTTGGTTTTACAAAGATAATACGATAGAGAATAATACAAAGTAATAAAAAGCACCTGTTATAGGGGCATTTTTTGGAGAAATTTATCAAATAACCAAAAAAACACGAATTTAAACGCAGATTTTTTTCAAAAAGTATCATTTTTTATGATTTGTTGGCCTTTTTTGTGTATTTTATGTATTTTTTTAGTATTGCCTGTTATTTAGCATTATTACTGTTTTTATTTTATCAGGATATACCGCTTAGTTTAAAAGTTATTACGTTTTCTTTACAATAAGTAATTGGAAGAAAAAAATTCTACAAAAAATTAAAAAAAAATCTCAAAAATTTTTTGACGTAATTTTTGTCGATAAAAATAGGTCTAGTTTCATCTATTTTCATATGTACACTTTAACGTGACTCACACTGTATTGGGTCGATCAATTTATTGATAAACAAAGCTTAAACTTCGGCGATATCATTACTAAATCCATGTTGTTAGTTCCGAATTAATAGATTTCAGCAATATTTATTATACTAGAGATAATTTACTGATATTACTCATAGTGACAATACTAAAAAAAAGTCAGTTGTAGGTAGGTTACTGTTTTGATACATATTTTAATGCAAAAATTAAACAAAAATACCTACTTTATTTATCTTTTGTTGTGATACATTTTAAAATAATTGGTGTTTTGTCTTCCCAGGCATTTTTATTACAGAATATTTGATTCATGCAATGTAAATATTTGTGACGTCAAATGGTGGAGCGATAAGTTTGGAAAAATAAAACGTAATAGCAGCAACATATCACTTTAGGAAGTAAATTAAGATAAATCTAGATATATTATGTCTAACATGCTCATAAAGAAATTGAATTTGTGAAATGTGAAGGTAAGCATTGCTTGATTGGCTCGTTAACCCATCGCTTCCTATCCTACAAGTCGTTATGTCATACGCCTATACGACCAGCTTCGTAATGTCTAACACCAAGTCTTGAGTTTGTTCCGGCGTTTCTTCTCAGCACTTGCCATAATGTTTGTCTCGAAGCGCTAGTAGGGCCCAAAAGACAAGGAAACATAAAGTGCCCCTTAAGGGCTACCTTTTTTACTGTATTTTGACGTTCATAAGTGCCACTAGTGGTCTAAATTGAATAAAATATTTTTGATTTGATTTGATTTACTTATGTAGCAAGGCTACTCCGAATCACTGTTTACGTAGTTTCAGGTCTATCTGTCTCAATCGCTCATACCGGCATCTCGCTTTACGTGAGAGGGATGGCACATACATTGAAACCTCGGATAACGTTTATCGGAGTAACCCCGCAGCCGATAGAAGTAGTATTGACTGTATACTCACTCCATATACGCTCGGAGCGTTTTCTGCATAATCTTGTTCTTCGGGAAGACAGCAGCCGGGACACCTATGGTCAGCTCGCTGATATCCGCCGCGGAGTCCCATATCTGGGCCGACACGCGGTCCAGGACGGGTTGATAGCTGAAATAATAACACCCTTAATAAAGTCATAAGACAGAGAATACGAACAACAATATGGGTTTAAATTAAAGCCGCCGCCGGCTAAACTAAATGAAAACTAAACTCAGTGAACTAAGCTAAGCTAAACTAGAACTACGTTGTCCGTCCACCAATAAATAAGCTAAAACTACGTTAGTGATGGTCAGTTTGTGCTAGAACGTCGAGTTAACCGAACTAAGTTAGTTCCACTTAGCTGGGGCATTTCACGTAGCTTAGCTGGCATAGTTTGCGGTGGACGCACATGTATGAAAAACTGGCTCAACTATGCGAGCTAAGCTAAACTAACTCAGTTTAGCCGGCGGTGGACGTTCGGCTTAAAGGCTTCGATACGCTGATTTAGTACGCACTCAGAGGTAGACTTCAGAGGAAGTCTACCCCAGCCATACAGAAAATAAGTGTACCACCTACTACAGGTCTACCGCTAACTCAGTCAGTACCTGAGATATGGGAGCGGCACATGAGTGTTTTTGTAACGTCAAACGTCAGCGAGATTTCAGATCTCCTGTTTTCTTACAAATTATATGCTTTGTCACGTCATAATGTCAATGTAAACCTTCCCGTGCCGCTCCCATACCTCAGGCACCTCAGATCATAGAAGGGAATAGATGTGAAACGGGGGCGTGGCGCGTCTCCGCGATATGCCCAGAAACGAACATTGGCCGCGTAGCTAGGTTAGTCGCGATTCAGTCGTACTAAGGAAATGTTCTCCGATATTTTGGATAATGCGTCGTTACGTGCAATAAAACAAGTGAAACGAAGAACTACAGGAACAATGGAGTCATTTACTACATGTAAGTATTGCAAATCCATTGGTATTTTGCTTATAAATAAAAAAAACTAAACATTTTTACAAACGAATTCAGTGCCGTAACAGTTACTGCGATATCGAAATCAGTGGTGATAAAAATTCTAACACGCGTGTACATTGACGATTTAGTTAGCAACCACTTTATGTCATGCTCAACTACTGCGCAATGTATTTAATTTCTTTCGATATCCACTGTCGTGTNCTGACTGAGTTAAACGCTAGACTTGTAGTCTGTCCCAGTCATATAAAGTCTATAGAATAAAAGCTTACTACCTAGTGGTAAATACATTACGCCTAAGTTCAGAAGGTATGCCTTTCATTGTACCTTACGTGTATTTCGTCCTTTTGGTCAATGTTATTATTTTTTCGGGCACAGAGCCAATTTCACATGTTATATTTTTAATCATGACATGCAAGAAATTCCAAAACACTAATAAGCTTTGGTAGCTATACTCGTAGTAGTACTATAGCAATTTTGGAAGTATGTTTTTATGTTGCTAAAACGACATAAGCTTTTTGGGATGACTTTCAGTTCAGAAGAACATAGGAGGAGTTCGAAGTTAAAGTTCGACTTCCAGTGCAAAGCGGATGACAAGTGACAAAACACACATTTAGCCTAGGCGCAGACCTTCGACTTTTAGTTAGCAGATAGCTGGGCCCATTTCTAATTTGTATGAAGAACATTAACAGGCCGACCCACCAACTATCGGCTAACTAAAAGTCGCTGGTCTGCGTATCACACTAAAGCCTGGTCCGTGAGCACGTAGAATTTTGTCCAATGACCGCGACTGTGCAACGGGCGCCCGCAGTGAGTGTGCGAGCGCGACAGCAACATAATTACGCGCGAGCGATAAGGATGGGTAGCTTGGGGTCATTGGACAAAATTCTACGTGCTCACAGACCAGACTATAACATCAACTATGGTGGCCTATCTTGTGAGCTAATAAGCTATCTGCCAATAACTTAGCTAACTGGGATCTTTGTCCCAAATACACAATCTCAACACTTCTGGGATGACTTACAGAGCCTTATTCCTCATGACGCGGACGAAGACCTCGCCCATCATGTACCCGCCGACGGAGAAACCGTGGATCACCATCGGCTGGTCGTTTTCGTTCGCTGCCATGAACTTGATCAAGTCCTCTGCTACCAGCTGTGGGAATAAGAACAAGTCAGTTAATGTCACACCCAGATTGTCTAGTGATAAGTGATATGTACTCTTTTAACCTAGAGCTACTATTATGTATTCTGTGCCTAGAGGTTCTGGGTTCGATTCTCAGATTGAAAACCTACTGTATGATTTTCCCCAGTATGGTTAGGAGTTGATCAATCAATCAGGTTATCTAATCAAAATATTTCTGCTCAGGATGACGCCTTAAGCCGCCAGTCTGATTGAGTCGTGCTCGTGGCTCATGGCTCATTCAGTCTGTCACCAACAGTGGCGGCGTAGCATGGGTTGGCATCCGGGGCGGTACCGATTCGAAGATTGAAAGACAATCGCACCCCCCGTATCATGAGATAGACCGCAGACTTGTCATGCATATGCGCTAATCAGCTAATCAGTATTAATTTGCGCGACTTGTGTCACCCCCTGAGGCTTGGCACCCGGGGCGGACCGCCCCCTTACGCCGCTAGTGTCACCAGGTGAAGTCAAGAAGACGGGAGGAAGGGATGTCACCATTTGGTGACCAAGGAACAAATATGCGAATACTATGCCTCTCTGACCCGTCTGGCCATGGTTTGAAGTTTGAACTTAGAGGCTAGGAAAATATAGAGTCACGCTTCTTTAGTGGAGACTAAGTGACCTGATGATGCTGATACATACCTGCGATCCCTTCTGCGGCCACATGAGCTGCCACGGCGTGCAGGACACGGAGACCACGTCGAAGCCCTGCTCCAGGTACAGAGTGGCATACTTCATGACGTGTTTCTGCCGCGCTAGAAGCCAGTTAATCATTACGCAGACCGGCTTGTTCCGTTGCTTGTCCAACCTGGAAAGGGGCAGCATTAGGGTCCAGCTCAGGAAGTCAAACTGGTCTCAATTGGCAGTTGGCACCAATCATCTAACTGTAACGCGGCGCAAGCCGTGAAGCCAAACCGTGTAGGTCTCTAGGCCTTGTGCCTGTCTTTATGGGTCCATTTCCATTCTCGTTCAAAGCAGGTATTAACTGAAATCACGTGAGATGCAGTCTAGGATGGTACATACCTACCCTATGCCTATTCACTCTCGCCTTGAAGAGGCCCAGATTATAGTGTTCGGGGAAGAGCAATGAATTCCAGTCCCTAGCTGTTCTCTTTATAAAAGAGTAAGCAAAGCGCTTAGTGCGAGCTGGTGTTATGTCGACAATGTAGGGATGGTACGCTAACTTGCATCTGGTTCCCCGGTGATGGAAGGGGGCTGGTTGAATTAGGTGTCTTACGCCCGTATTCACAAACATTACTATGAGGTCTCAAAGTGCGCGTGGACGCACAGGGTGACGCACGAACCAATCACAGAGCTCCATTCAACGCAGTTCTTTCAATTTGCTGCTTCACTTAAGCAAGCATTGTTTGTGAATACGGGCGTAAGTGTCTTAACCTAGTAGACTGTGGAAAAAATGAGGAAGTAGCTCACTTCATGGTGGCAGGGTCGGCGGTCAGCTTGAGCTTGTCGTTGCTGATGTACTGGATGTTCTTGGTGAGGTCCTGCGTGTGCGCGTTGCGGTCGAAGCTGACCATCGCCACGGGTGCGCACGTCAGCAGCGGGCGGAAAGACTGGAGACAAACCAAGACAAACATTTTGGGTTAGTTACAATCAAAAGGCACCTAGTATAATACTAAACTATAAAGAACTGCCATTTTCAAACGAAACATCTACTGCTGGACAAAGAATTTGTATTGCGCAAATTACTAATAGTCCCGTTAGCCCCTCGTGTTAAGTTAAATAAGCTTGTGTTACGAGTGGGCTCACCACAATAGTCAAGCGGCGGTGGGATTCGAACCCGCGTTCCTCGGATCTCGAGTCAGCCAGTCCGACCACTTCACCGTTGGGCTATCGTGGCTATTCTGCAACCTCGATTCACGGAAACGAAAGCCTGCTTACATTACTTCTTCCGGTGTATGGTTGCCACTAGAGAACGTTTCTGTCTGATCCCTTCTAAGAACTATTGGGATAACTTATAATTGATTATTATTATTTATTATTGTTGCTCCAACGACATTACATCAAGCTTATTTTGCAACAAAAAAGTATTACGGTATCCACATTTCATTTGAAATATCCATTGCTGTGTGTAAACTGTAAATTACTAACGACCAGTGTCCTGCACACTCAATTGTAAGTCATCCGGACAGCGATCTAGGTCTCGAATTATCTGAATCCGTCGAATTGTTGAAGAAGAATCATCTTCACAGACATTGACTGTCGTTAGCACATCAGACTATACCTACTTTTGTTGCAAATCACGCCATATTGTGACGACATAAGATTCAATTTTGATTTATGCGCTGACGTCTGTACAAAATCAATGTTTTTGTAGTTGTCAAGTCATCCGGCTTGTCTTTTTTCAGTAGTTAACATGCCGTTGTTTTTTGTTAACATTTTTTAGCAGAAGATAGGTTCTAGGTGCTATCATAGCAAGGCAGGCTCTTTTTGGACTGGATATCATTACATCTTTTTGTTTGTTTGAACGCCCTAATCTCATCAACTACTGGTCCCCGATTTGAAAAGTTATTTTTGTGTTGTATAGCCCATTTATCAAGGAAGACTACAGCCAATAGGGGCGATGCAGTAAAGAAATATTTAGAAAAAACGGGAAATATTATTCAGACTATTTTCACGCGAGCACAGCTAGTCTTCTCTATAATAAGTACTTATCTCATGGGTCCTTCCTAAAAAAATGCAGCAGTATGCACTATCTATACTGTATAATATCTGTCTGCGATTGTGCGCAAATGCCGTCAAGGGCGTACACTGACACCCGATTAGTATGTTTTATTTTTACCCAACTGCGGCAGAAGGAGGGTTATTTGTTTATTTTTTCAAATAAAGAATATTCTGCTACAAGGCTGCATGTGACATGACCTTATTGCATTCTTTGTTATGTTCGATAGCACTACATAATGAATGGATTACTATTAAATTAATTTTAAAGCGATAAGTATCACGTCTCGTGCGCGGTATCGACCTCTGACCGCGGATCAACGTACCTACAGCACGTCAAGCTAAATCGATTGGATCTTATGGAGTTATAATAAGGGTTATATTGCAAAGAAAATGTGTAGTCTGATGTGATTATCTATACCTATAGGGTATCTACTCTACTGTATCAATTTACATTGTTGTTCTTTGGTATTAGCACGAGGGCCAATTATTATAGTAAGTGTAAACTCTATTCAGTTGAGATAAGAGCTGATTACGACTTGGCATAAAATTTTAAAAGTATAAAGTCGTCGACCAAAATTGACTACACTTAGGCAGGGTTGCACCATCATACTTTGACTGTAACAAACGTCAAAAATCTGTCAAACTGCATACAAAAACCACTGGATAACGTGATAGTTACGGTCAAAGTTTGGTGGTGCAACTCAGCCTTAAAGTCATGAGCTGATGATGATTCCGATATCAATAGTAACTAGATAGGTACCTACCTAATGATTTTGGATAAGTTACCAGCTAGCTAATGTATGAATTTGTGGCGGTAGGTAGGTAATGATAGTTTGATGATCTGAATCATTAGGCGAATAAAGATAAAATCAAAAAGCAATTAAACTACGATTATCATGAGCAAACTGGACTATAAATATCAAATCATTGTACGGTGTAAAGTCAAAAGTACAAAATACTAAATGGTATCTTATGGACTGATCTGCAATACAATAGTCCTTATTGGTCGAACAATTTAGAATGAGTGTTGTAAAAGTACTATTTCTTGCATCATACAACTGGCCATACAAGTTCATACAACTAATCAGGAATACCGTATTGATATGTGTACTTATTAATAAACACGAAAGTATAACACTTTTGACCGGCTTCAATGCCAGTCACGGTCAAGGTTGAACTTATAAACGCGGATGTTCCTTAATTCAGGGTGTTAGAGTTGATATTAGAACAGCTACACCACGTCCATTATGATCATTTATAGCACAGGCTGGAATTGCGCCTGCGATCTAGGTTTTAAATTGAACGCAGTGAAATCTATCTATACCTATAAAATGTGTGTTCTTCCATCTTCTGACGAGCAATAAATAAAAAAATCAATAGGACAAGAAAAAAAAATGTAAAAAAAAAATGTATGGTCAAAAAAGTAATAAAAGGAAATAATAGATTTTAAAAAATACCAAAATTATAGCAACACTAGCACCGACCATAAAAAGAAAACTAATAATAATATACCTAAGAAACTTAGGAAAATGAATAGGGTACCAAGTTAATCAATGCTGTAATAAATATCAATGATAAAAATAAGTTTACCAATACATATGGTATAATAAAATTATATAAAAATAGACACGATTACATTGGTAGGTACCTAGTAGCTGTTGCTATGTTTACTTTAAAATTAGGTAAACTACTGACAGTGGACCTTGAATGTCTGCGCCTTGTTGATAATCAGTGAAATGAAGTATGAGGAGGAGATAAAAATGATAATAAATAATAATACATTGTTTCAAGTATCCATAATCTATATTGTCTAAAAATAAACGAGAGTTGTGCTATTAGAGTTATATTGTTTGTTTTCTTAAAAAAGTAAAATAAAAATAAATAAATAGCAATATAATAGGGCTAACCGTATTTGATTTTGCGTTCACTGGTTGGCGCTACTGGAGAGTGACTGGACAGTAGCGCATCGGATTAAAAAGGACATGGTGCCTACATTTATTGGATTATAAGCACTCTTGGTAGGTAATTGACATTTTTATTCCAATGCAATTCTTTATGCGTTGTGTGATGCGTTCTGCAAACACACGACTAACGTCCAGCCACATAATAATAATAAGTAGGTGTCCAGCTCAAAACGACTTATTTGAAAGCGCCCTTAACATGACGAGCAACCGCTAATCTATCTCTATGATAGGTCATGGTCTGACATCACTATTCCTATTGTAATACACGATGCAGAGATATAGTACAGTTAACCAGACAAATACTTTTAGATTTAACTTCGTTAAAGGTTCCTTACAGTCGGCTTCTATTCAACCTTCACTGGTTGGGTGTCTTTGGCTGCTAGATTGTTGTAGATTCTGGCATTCCTAGATGTTCAGGAGTTGCCGAAGGATATGAGAGTCGCGTCGCCATATTATTTGTAACTGAAAATGATTCTTCATTTTCTTCTTCAATAAATTCAAAACACTACGTCGATATCCCAAGACCATCATCATGATCATGTCAACCGCTTCTATAATAATTTCTGCAGGGTGACGATCGACGGCTGTTAAGATATTCCAAATGCAGTGCAATTTCAGTGAAAGTACAAGTATAATTGCATTATCAAGCTTGACAATTGGCACAGATCCTTAATCCAGGGATAAAGGTCAAGTTATGCCCTCGACTGTACTGTTCGCTTGGTAACGCGGCGCATGATATAGAACGCTTACTTTGTTGCATGTGGAATTTTCCGCTGCAAGAGCCAATATACAGTNAGCCCCGATTACGGTAATTTTTAACGTCAACAATCCAGACACGCTTCTCGATTCTGCGATACGATTGGTCGTTCAACAGCGTACGTCAGCTGTTTTGACCAATCGTATCGCAGAATCAGAAACGCGTCTGGATTGTAGACGTTATAAAAGTTACCGTAATCGGGGCTCAGAAATGTTGAATCTCCCATAGGATAATAAATTAATTCATATCATTTTTTTAAACGAGCCATAGACTATGAACCATAGAGCAATGATTCTCATCGACAAAAATATCGATAGTGTCTCAGCGCCATCAGCTGTTACACAAATGTCATTACCTCGTCCCCCTCAGGAAATGGCGAAATTTTTTTGTATGGAAATAAACGCGCGCTGCTACTCCTGTTATTTCTGCTCTCTGGCTATAACAAACAATGAGGAAGCAATACTTTTTAACTACCCTAAAACGCATGTCGCTGCTCCTGTTTCCTTTATATTTTCATTTTTTTCTTAATTAAAATATATTTCAGAATATTGTTAATTACAATGTGAAAACTTTTTTTAAAATGAANAGTTTGTGTCTGTACACTCACAGATGCCTTCGGACCATCAGAAGTACGGGACCAGAAAGACTCCAAGTTGTCTTTGCTGGTAATTTTTGCAAATTAGGAAAATATTTAAAATTTCAAAACCGTGTCTGCGTGAAATCAAGCTATTCAGCGAGCAGAAAACATAATTTATTATGGATTGGACAGTTTGTGTCGCACTGTAACATTTTTGGAATCATCCGGCAAACGTCCTATCACGCTCCAACTCCGTGAATCGTCGAATTTCCTTAGTCAAACTCGTTGAACTCTGGAAGTTGAAGTGCGCAGGCGCATGGTCTCGTGGTGTGATAAGTACCTATTGATAGCACGTGCGCGCGCCGTGACTCGTGACGCCGAACCGGTTGTTGCCAAGTGCAAAGCTTAGGGTTACTATGTGCTAGACTGCTAGTAAAAACCTGAGTTACTATGGTTTTTTTTCTCAGGGTTACGATTTTTCAGAAATATCTTAGTTGTTAGTAGAGCCACAGAATAATGTCATTTGGCGGATTTACACTATGCGGAAATTAGCCGAGTCAAGACAAAAAAACAGTGGTGGAACATTAATTTTTCATCCCCACCCCACTGTTTTTTTGACTTGACTCGGCTTATTTCCGCGCAGTGTAAAAGCAGCAATTCGGTAGAGCTTTCCCTTCTATGATCTGAGGTAGAGCTAGTACCTACTAACAACCGGTTTTTCTGGGTTTTTAGGAAGGTGTTTTATCATAAAATTGTAGCAACATGATGGTGAAGATTCTACTATCGAGTGCACCGTTTAAAAAAAAAATTGCATAAATTATCGTAACTACGTACTTTCAAACAACAGTTCGAATGCAAATATTGATATTAGCTGGTAGCTCATACTCAGGCAGCGTCCTTTATGCATACCTACTACCTATCTATATCGACGATATTTGCTCAGAATGAGACGTTCACTAATCCTTCAGTCTAGCTCTTTCGTTCTTAAACGAAACAATAAGGACAGCACGAATACATTCGAACCTGTGAATGTGTGTTTTAAACTTGATGCAAACTAAAGACTCTAGAATTCAGCTTCTGTGTAATTTAACCATTCAAAAGTTTGAATCTATGCTTGCAACTCAAAGACCAGGAATCAGAAAAGGGGTTCAACTCTTGTCTAAGTTGGCTACTAGTCAATCAATGGGGATAAGACTACTAAAACTTAGCTGGTAGAGAATGCCACATGGCATTAAGTTCGCCTGTAGTACCGCTTTTTTTGTGTGTGCAATAAAATAAAAAGAGCCTGATCAATCGACTCAGTACTCGTTTTAAGTGCATACAAAATTGTGTGTATTATAAAAAAAATGACAATTTCCCTTGGTGGTCATCGCATCACGCATGAAATTCTGGACCGATTTCTCTAATTCGTTTTTTGTTGTTGTTTTTTTCAGAAGGTTCCTAAAAAAATGCGCGAAAAATATTAACTTTTCGTAAGACAGGACGTCTGTCGGGACAAGCTAGTGCATAATAAATAATAATAATATTTTTTTTAGCAAAAATTTCTTTCCATATAGTGGATATTCTTTCCATATACAGTGCATCCACCATACTTGTAAGACGCAAGAACGCAAGGTACAAAGTCCAAATGATAGCCGGCGTGCTGCGCCTGCGTCGTAGGTAATTATGCATTTCATAAATTGAAGCTGCTTAGCCACGCAGCGGCTGTATCTATGTAGCGGGACATTTCTACATAATATCTAGTCATAGAATGTTGGGATAGGTTAGGTTTTATGTAATTAAGTATGTATAATTGCGTAGTTATTAAGTATTGTTTGTATGTATAATGTAATATGTTTATAAATAGTATTTACTTATGTTAGGCGTTAGCTTCCAATTTAATTACACACCTAAGCGTTTGTTTACAAACAATCATCATAAAATAATAGTTAGGACATACATAACAAATGAATTAAATCTAATAAGTAATAATTTGGTTGATTATGTAATGACTGGGTAAGTAAGTAGGTATAAACTAAGTTCAAGTTACCAAGGTCAAGGTGTACCTTTTACTTTTTTTACTCTGATTTTTTTTTACCTAAAAGGGTGTTATGTTTTTCAACCTGACTTCTAATGGGACAATGGGCCTATTCGAGTGTCCCATAGGCATGATTACTTTATTCTTAAATTCACAGTGACTCTAATAGCTTGATCTTGAACCTTAACTTTATCACGAGGCTCTACAAGAAATTAATCTAAATCATTACCTAAATGCCACATACAAACTCAATAGAGGAAATAGGTAGGTATGCATAGCACTTAGCTATGCATATCATCTAATTAACAAACAATACCAGTCTTGACTAGGAACTCGCTTCGTAATTGACCACAAATAGTACGTAATAGGTAATAACTCAAAAAAGGTACAAAATTGTTAGATCTGGATTTGATATTTTCTCTTAGACCCAGTTTCTGGATTATTGAGATTTTTGATGGAGCGTACACATTTTCTAATCAAGTAGGTATAACCCTTCATTTGGCACTCTTAATCTGTAAATCATTAAAAAAACTGGACATTAGTCTTTGTAAATTGAGATAAGAATAAATTACTTACAGTTCCTTTGCTTTTCAGTCCCATTTTTCCACTATGAGCAGCCATTGACATCGCAGTCCGGAAAACACCCATCTTGTTACGTTATGTTTTTCCAACCTGCATAACAGTAATAATTCAATGTTTAGGGTTAATTCACTTGTATACACAAAAGGAAGTACTGTAATGTCTAAGTGTTGTAAGGGAAAATAAACATAGTTTTCATTACGGATATGAGAAAACTGGTCGACATAATGGATATGACAAAACTGCTTGAACTATCAAGGTTGAAATCCCATGAGGCTTTAAATACAAGACACAACATACACAAATTAAAAATGTACATATCCGAACAGATGCTGTTTGCAAAGTGTATGGTTTTTACTGTAAAAAGAGTAATGACCATTGTGTGTTTGTTTTTTAAGTTCCATTTCTACTAACAATGCAAGTTGCATACAAAACAAAAAAATTCATGTTTTGTTTTAAGTTATAATAATTTTAAATAAAGTCATTGAATTTCTTAAGCCATTGTCACAATATTAACATATTGCTTTCTTTTTAAAAGTGAAAAAAGTATAGAATTACTGTGTAACACACTTAAGTGAAATTTAGGTAAGGGTAAATACCTAAAACAAACCATTGTTTAGTTATGTTTGGGTTTGTTGTAAAAATATTTTTATAATTTAATTGTAAATACAAATATAAATTATTCGTAAAGAAGGGAAAAATAAATCATTGAAATGTATGTACACACGATTTCCACACAACTGCCATAAATATATTTTTTTGTGTGTTATTGGCAGAATTGAGGTTTCTAAAAAGAATTTTAGAAGAAATATTCACGAACAAAATTTCACTGTACGAACAAAGTTCGCTCGATCAGCTGATTTATGATAAATTAATAATAAAGATTAATAGTTCATAAATTACAAAAACTGTTACATTTTATTCAATTATTTTAGTTCACTAATAAATTTGTATTGTGATTACACTAATTTAGGAAGTTGGAGTGAAATCAAAATGTATGTTTATACTGTAAGGTTAATGTTAATGATAAAACCCAAAAAGTAAACAGATTCTGCTTTATGATTGCAGTACTTACCCTCAAATAGTCACAAATAGAGCAATTGCAGTAATTTTAACTGTGCGTGCAATCAGTTGGCACTCTTTTACTAATTTAACACGATTATCCGGAATTTATCCAGTGAAATAAATGATCAACTTAACATTCAATTAGATACAGTTTAGTTCTTTGAAAAATCACTATCAGAAGTTCAGTACCTTCTGCAAAAAATACAATTATTGAATTATAAAGTTCCGACAACCACCAACAAAAAACACGCACCTCTCGCGTGAACACGGCGTGAGTGGCGGAGGGAAAGGGGAGGGAGGAATATTACTTTTCTCTATGGGGAGGAAGGACAAAGGAGGAAAATATACGTTCAAAAACCGTAAAAACACAGAGTAAAAACGCACAGAAACGGGTGTTCAGTCCAAATTATAGGAAAAATTTGACGTTTGATTTTTGAACAGAATACGCAAATGTCACAAACATGTGGTCTATTTCTGACAGTGACATTATTTCTAAATTCTAACCTGTCGGATGGTTTGTTGTTGTGAAGTGATGTGGTGTTTTTTGATTCTTTCGTAAGTCTTAATAACTTGGGATAAAGTGAAATAAAATGGGTGAAAATGAAGGAAAAGAATTCGCAGCGCTGGGAGTGAAATCGTGGCTTATAAAGCAACTCTTTAGTCTTGGTGAGTAGCCTATTTATTTTACCACAACATGAATTGGTTTTTTAGTATTATAATGGAAAAGAAAGATAAAATCTTCTAATTTTCTTATTCTTTTAGGTATAAAGTCGCCTACGCCTATCCAAAAAGGTTGCGTACCAGGCATCTTGGAAGGTTCCGATTGCATAGGTGCGGCCAAGACAGGCTCAGGAAAAACGTTTGCCTTCGCGCTGCCGATTTTGCAGAACCTATCTGACGATCCTTATGGAATATTCGCTTTGGTTCTCACCCCTACACATGAGTTGGCTTACCAGGTATGTAAGCAATTGGATAAAAATGGCTAAAGAGTATTGTTAATCCTTTTTTTATTAGATTAGATTATAAGATAGAATTATTAGATAGAATTTTTAAGTATAAAAACCTATACAATAGCTCAAACTTATAAATATTTATTAAACTATATATTTTCATCTACAAAATGTCATTTCAGATTGCAGATCAGTTCAGTATTCTTGGACAGCCGCTTAATCTCAAAGTCTGCATTGTGACTGGAGGCTCCGACCAACTGGAAGAGTCGCTGAAGCTGGCCAAACGTCCCCACATAGTGGTAGCCATGCCTGGCCGCTTGGCGGACCACATAAGTGGTTGTGACACTTTCTCCTTGAAGAAAATAAAGTATTTGGTTTTGGATGAGGCAGATAGGTAAGACATTTCTTAAAGATTTCAGCTACTTATTATGTAAGGAAGGTTCGTTCGTTTCAGCTAAATGACGTCCACTGCTGGACAAAGGCCTCCTCCAAGGTTTTCCATACCTTCTTATTTATTTAATAGGAACATAAACAACACACGTTTTGTGTGTAATCATGTGACTAACAAAAAATAAATAAGTTTTTATATGACTGTACTGTCTGTATGTAGTCATAAATTACTCCTTATTTTATATCTTCTTATTTATCATTAATTTATATTTTGTCTTCAATTCCAGGCTTTTCAGTGAATCTTTTCAAGAGGACTTGGAGACAATATTCAATGCATTACCACAGAAGAGACAAAACCTGTTGTTTTCTGCTACAATCACTGAGGACGTAAGAGAGTCAAAGTTGCTTCCTCTAAATAAAGAGGTGTGTTATTATAATTAATTATTATCTTGTAAGTGGATAATAAATGTATGTTATAGAATGGACACAATATTTCTCAGACGAAAAATATTATTTGATTGTTTCTTTAACCCTCCTTAGTTGAGAGAGTTCTCTCTTAAGAGTCAACAGCAATGCGTTGTGGCGTTGCATCGCAAATATTTCGCCATATCGCAAATATTTCGCCATATCACGCTCGTGTGCCTGCCACAGATATTTCTATGTAAGACGATCGAACGCAACGAAACCGCGATCGTGATCGTGAAGGCATCGTGAGCTTTGGCTCTTACATAAAGTGAATGTTTTTTCATCAGAAACTGCTGGTATGGACGGAGTCGGACACACAACTGACGGTGTCCACGCTAGACCAGCGGTACGTGGTGTGCCCGGCGTATGCGCGCGACGTGTATCTCGTGCAGACGCTGCGCAAGTACCGCGAGAACAAGCCCAGTTCGCACATCATCGTGTTTACGGATACTAAGAAGTGAGTTATCTTCTAAGTACTTAACCTAAGACCCAGTATTCACTTGGACAATTTTTATATAGAACTAGCTTTCCGACCGCGGCTTCGCCCGCGTGGAATTTTGTCTGTCACAGAAAAACTTTATCGCGCGTCCGTTTCAAAAACCGGGATAAAAACTATCCTATGCCCTTTCGCGGGACTCAAACTATCTCTATGCCAAATTTCATCAAAATCGGTTCAGTGGTTTAGGCGTGAAAGAGAGACAGACAGACAGAGTTACTTTCGCAATTATAATATTAGTAAAGATTTGACAGCAGTGGAGCTGTGCGGAGCGGAGAAGAGAAGTGAAATAATAAAATCTGATTGGTTATTCAAAGCACTTTTCCGCTACTCTCGGCTCTGCTCTGCCTTGGTGGAAAACGGCCCTAAGATAACATATTTGACCAGGATTTAGTTAATTTTACAAGTTACCTCAAAATCACTACCTACAAGTTTGTCCACCACCACAAATGTTTGTGATCAATATTACAACTCGGTCCAGTTAACTGCGCACTTCACTGGAATGCATCTCTCCCTCGCACATACCTGTACACCTCCCCGCATTCGCCCCGTTCTTTCCCTAACTTATTTGTTTGTTTATACTTTAGTACACCTCTCCCCTGGGGGGCGCAACGATTTCTCGGTTAATACCAAAGTTAATTATCTATTGCAGAGAATGTCAAGTGATCTCGATGATGATGAACGCCATAAGCATGGACAACGTGTGCCTACACGGGTTCATGCGTCAACGAGAGCGTAGCGCCGCCCTAGCGCAATTCCGGAGCAACCTGAAGTGCACGCTCGTGGCAACTAATGTGGCGGCGCGAGGTCTTGATATACCTTCTGTGGACCTGGTGATTAATCATAAGCTACCGCTAGAACCGAAGGAGTATGTGCACAGGTGAGTGGTCCCAGCGATCTGAAGCGCACGCTCGTGGCAGCAAACGTGGCTGCGCGAAGCTTAGACATACCTTCTGTGGACCTGGTGGTTAATCATAAGCTACCGTTAGAACCGAAGGAGTATGTGCACAGGTGAGTGAGTGGTCCCAGCGATCTGAAGTGCACGCTCGTAGCAACTAATGTGGCGTCGCGAGGCCTTGATATACCCCCAGTGGATCTTGTGGTCAACCACAAGCTACCGCTAGAACCGAAGGAGTATGTGCACAGGTGAGTGGTCCCAGCGATCTGAAGCGCACGCTCGTGGCAACAAACGTGGCGGCGTGAGGCTTGGACATACCTTCTGTGGACCTGGTGGTTAACCACAAGCTGCCACTTGAGCCGAAGGAGTACGTGCACAGGTAAGAAGTTTAGAGTTATCGTAGCACAGTTCCGAAGTAACCTGAAGCTCACGCTCGTGATAACAAATTTTACGGCGCGAAGCCTTGAGACATACCTTCTGTGGTTACTCGTGGCAATTAATGTGGGCGGCGCGAGGTCTCGACATACCTTCTGTGGATTTGGTGATTAATCATAAGCTACCGCTAGAACCGAAGGAGTATGTGCACAGGTGAGTGGTGTAGTATTCGCAGTTCCGGAGCAACCTGAAGTGCACGCTCGTGATAACAAATGTTACGGCACGAGGCCTCGAGACATACCTTCTGTGGTTACTGTGGTGCAATGACGCACGCTCGTAGTAACTAATGTGGCGGCGCGATGCTTGATATACCTTCTGTGATCCTGGTAGTTAATCATAAGCTACCACTTGAGCCTAAGGAGTATGTGCACAGGTGAGTGGTGTAGTAATACTGTAGTGCAGTTCCAGATAAATCTGAAGCGCACGCTCATGGCAACAAATGTGCGAGGCCTTAATATACCCTTAGTGGAACTGGTAGTGAACCACAAGCTGCCACTCGTGCCTAAAGAGCACGTGCATGGGTGGAAACGTTTGCGCTTCCATACTTGAAGAAACTGTATTTTAATAGTTCATCAAAAGTATCTCCATCAATCTCCATGGTTTTGGTTGACGTCTCCAGTTCGCGATTGTGTACGGTGCAACTTTTTATTTACTTCTAAATTGCAATAACCATACAACTGTATGGTCCTTCGAGCCGGGTTGATATTGATTTCAAAGTTACTAGAATTTTACAGCATTCGAAAACTAACACTAGAGGGGCTAGGAATAAGTGTTTTTTTAAGATGTGTCTTGGAATGACTACCCTCCGTTTGTCTTCAGGGTGGGCCGCACGGCTCGCGCGGGCCGCAGCGGGCTGGCCATCTCGCTGATCACGCCGTACGACCTGCTGCGCCTCGGCGAGATCGAAGCACACATCAACACCAAGCTCACCGAGTACAAGATCGATGGTATGTTCCGACATAAGCGAGGCTAGGATGCGCGCTTTGATAAAACCTTATCGACAGTAATCACTTACCATCAGGTGATCCGTATGCTCGTTTGCCTCCTGTCACATAAAAAAAAGATGAGTTTAGATGACAAATGTATGGGCTTATCGTGAAAAATCGATAAAATGCCTCGATAAAAGTTTATTGTAGCGCGCATCCTAGTACGACCTGCTGCGCCTCGGCGAGATCGAGGAACACATCAACACCAAGCTCACGGAGTACAAGATCGATGGTATGTGTCGACATAAGCGAGGCTAGGATGCGCGATAAAACCTTGTCGATGGGTTTAGGCGACAAATGTATGGGCTTATCGTGAAAACTCGATAAAATACCTGTGGGCCGCACGGCTCGCAGCGGGCTGGCCATCTCGCTGATCACGCCGTACGACCTGCTGCGCCTCGGCGAGATCGAGGCACACATCAACACCAAGCTCACCGAGTACAAGATCGATGGTATGTGTCGACATAAGCGAGGATAGGATGCGCGCTTTGATAAAACCTTATCGACGGTAATCACTTACCATCAGGTGATCCGTATGCTCGTTTGCCTCCTGTCACATAAAAAAAAGATGAGTTTAGATGACAAATGTATGGGCTTATCGTGAAAAATCGATAAAATGCCTCTATAAAAGTTTATTGTAGCGCGCATTCTAGTACGACCTGCTGAGCCTCGGCGAGATCGAAGCACACATCAACACCAAGCTCACCGAGTACAAGATCGATGGTATGTGTCGACATAAGCGAGGCTAGGATGCGCGATAAAACCTTATCGACGAGTTTAGACGACAATTGTATAGGCTTATCGTGTAAAAATTATAAAACATCTTGATATAAATTTATCATGGCACGCATCCTAGGCCTACTGGACATTTCGATCAGCCTTTTTAGGGTTCTGTGTCTAACAAAGGGTAATGAATGAAACACAAATGTTTACTTCAAATATATGAGAACCGATTCCGATTTGACATTCCATTTGCGCAAAAGTTATAGCATCTTCCAATATTATGATTCCTTTTGCCCCACCCTGGCTTTAATGATTTTTAGATGTTAGTCCCAAATAAAAAGACGTAGTATTCGAGCACCAGAATAACCATCATCAGATAGGTTTTTTTACACCCTGCATAGTAAAATAATAGTATTAATTAAAAGCTATTCTGTTTCCAGACGACGAAGCAGTGCGAGTATTCACGACAGTCAGCGTGACGCGCCGCGAGCAGGAAGCCAAGCTCGACAACGAGGAGTTTGAGCAGCGCGCGCGCAACTACCGTGTCAAGCGCTGGCGCATGGCCGGCGTGGATCCTGACCTCATGCAGGAAGGGTCAGTATCGCCAGAATAAGAATAAGAAATTTATTCATAATGTTCATTACATGTCAAATTTTCAATATATTTTCTTATTAATAATAAACAATAGTAGTATTAATAAGAAAGAAATACACATCATGTCCAAATAAATTAATAATACAAATAGAATTAATGTCAATTAAATGTCAAAATAAATAGTGGGTAACAGTGTCAATAATAATTAAATAATAATAAATAAATAATAAAATGTTTCTTGCCATTNAGTACTTATTATTATTCTGTGGCTTTACTTAAATCGATTTAGGGCTTTGCCACACTGGCGGATAGCAAGCGTTTTCTGGGCGGTGCAGCGGCGCGGCGCGGTACACCGCGGCATTTTGCAAGCATTTTGGCGACCGCGGCGAGCCCGCCGCGCCGCCGCTTCGCTTGTTATCTGCCAGTGTGGCAAAGCCCCTAGGGTCAATCAATTTTGAACTGCTAAATTCTCGGATGTCTCGACCTTATGCAGGAAGGGTCAATATCGCTTGGCACTTGACTTTAGTGTGGACTCAATTTCAACAGNTTTCAAACAGATTTCAACGAGAGACAATTGAAATTCCAAACAGTTCGTCAATTTTATAGAACGCCTGCTCGATCAACCACTTTTTTAATTGAAATTTGAAAGAATGGAGTGATACCGCTTCATTCACTATTTTCATATAAACGCATCGAGCGCGGTTTGTATGTGAGCGCGCCAATACGTATGCGGCGCGCACGCACACACTGACAGAATTTAGCGTGGATTAAAGGGGTGTTGTGCCGAATCGGTGCGTTTCTATGAAGATTACCTACTCATTTGTATTTACTCTGGTATGGCTCAGCACTTCACTTTAGTGTGGGTTTACTTAAATCGATTTAGGGCCTTGCCACACTGGCGGATGGCAAGCGTTTTCTGGGCGGAGCAGCGGCGCGGCATTTTTCAAACATTTTGGCGACCGCGGCGTGCTCGCCGCGCCGCCGCTTCGCTTGCAATCTGCCAGTGTGGCAAGGCTCTTAGGCTCAATAATTTTGAACTGCAAGATACTCGGAGGTCGCGATCTTATGCAGAAAGGGTCAATATCGCTTGGCACTTGACTTTAGTGTGGACTCAATTTCAACAGGTTTAGGGTCCATTTTGAATCGCCAGATGTGTTTCCATGAGACAATCAACATTCTAACTAATGGACCCAGACCCTGTTTATCCAAAATTGCGCAAATACATAATGTAGCTAGGTATTTGAATATGAAATAAATGTGATATTTTTTACATCCCTAGATTGGAAGAAATGCGTCGTAAGCGAGTGAAAGAGGCCAAGAAAGCTAAACTGGAGAAAATCAAACAACTGCAGGCACAAATGGCGAGTAAAGAGGAAACGGGACAGAGCGATGGTAACCGCCTGCTACCGAGTGAGAAAGACATAGACGCGAGCATCAAGGAGGGCCTGAAAAAAGTCAATAAAGGCCTGATGAAAAAAGACGACAGATTTAAGAACGTCATAGGAAAGATCAGCAAAATTAAGAGGAAAGCGGAGAATGTTAAAAACCAGACGGTGGATAAAGAACACAAGAAGAAGAAGAAGAAAGTTGTTAATAAATGATGTATTTAAAATGCCTTGAGTTTTTCTTCTTAAACACATTTATATTTATTTTATACATACTTAATATATTGAAGCATAGAATTAAGTCTGGGACTTTTATAAAAGTTTAGAAATGCATTTTTTATGTAAAGAAATACATAGGTACTAAAATTCTAACAATAAAATGATTTGGCCTTACCAAATTTTGAAGGTAAAGAAAACAATATTTAGTCAATAATTTATTTATTAATACATTGTAAAATTACAAATAAATACAACAATAATATACTTTGTTTAAGCGAATGTAGTATCGATGGCAAATGATTTGGCACAAAATTTAGCCGATAAGCCTTCGTGAAGTCTACTATCTTTGCAACTTTGCTCTCTAATACCTAAGAATTGCGGCTTCATTAAGAATTATCTAAAAAATTATATAAAATATGAAGAAAAGGCCTTGGTGAATACAATAATAAAGTGAATAATTTTTGTGTTCTCTAGCGATTTTACTGTGCAGACTATTGGTATCAAAATTCATTATTTTTTAAGACAATACAATCACATTATATCACGTTTGTTTGTAGACTAAAAACCAATCGTAAAATTAAAATTGCGTTTTGAGCAAACAATACAAAATTAAAGATAAAACCATTTGGTTCAGGTTTAAGAACAATGATAAAAAAAATTGGAAAATTCTCCATAATAACCCGTGGAATTATTTATTACTCAAGAATAGTAAAAGGAGACCGATAGGCTGATAACATGTGAAATATATTTTTATAGTGAATTAGATAAATTGAATCAACACTTGAGAAAGGTCATGGTTCCACCTAATTGTGAAAATACTAATGGTTTACAAAATGATATCACCATTAAGTTATTAAATAACTACTCAAAAATCGAATTGAAAATTATTTTTATATACAAAATAAGTAGATTTAACAGCGTGCTCGTCCTATAAATGCTCTGCTATTAATATAATATAACATTTTGTGTGAAATATACTTTCGATCCATAACTAGATACCTATTGGTCCTACTAATAATAAAGAGGATATTTTGTAAGTTCTTTTGACAGGGTGTTTAAAGAATTTATAAGCCACCATATTTTAAACTTAATTGAAATGTAAAAAGATTCCAATTTAATGAAAACTATTTTTATCTTAGTTGGCAATTAGGGAATGAATTGTACTGCATCTAAACGTAATGTCAAAAGAACTAATAATTTTCCTATAATCCAAATAAGTGGCAACAGCGTAGTGTACCACAGAAAAGCCATAGATATCAATAAAATAGAAGACTTATTGAGTCCATTTGAAAATGTGGTTTTGTAGAATTTAAATTGTATAATAATACAAACATTTCTCTATGAACAAGATGACATAATAGGATTTCGCCATTTCTAATAACTGACTGAACGGACCTATAATAAGTAGATCGAAATGAAATAGTGAGTGTACGAATGTATTTTATACAAGTACGATGTGGGTCTTAAGCTTATTATATGTATAGTATAAAAGCCACTGTTGCATGGCATATGCACATACTTTGACGGGCTAATGCTTACAGCACTGATTTTTAATGCGACATATCAATTCAGAATCTGAATGTCTAAAGCTAGTTTAAATACAGACAGTAAAATGTTTTAGAGTTTCAGAATTATTGATTAAATGGTAATAACCAATTTGATTAAGGTGTTTGTTCATTGGATTCGAATGCACTCAAAGAATCGAAATTATTCGATTCTGTCTCTTATGAGGTCGTGGTTACACCTTATGGGTGGACGTCACATGCTGAATTTCCAGCTGCGATGCCTTTTTTTTTCGGAGCGAAGGCCTTTCAAAATTGCAACTGTTACTTTTTGCCATTTGTCTAGGGGGTCTGAATTGATATGCCGCAAACTGAACTAAGGTTAAGTAGACTCGTATATCTGACGTTCTATTCCGACATTTGCAGGAGCGAGTTGATGGTGGCGTCTTTGTTGCCGCGGTTCGCTTCTAGCACAGACCTGATCACCTCTTTGTCAATACTCGGGAACATTTCTTCGATCTGAAAAAGAAAGTGCAGCATTTTAATTACGGATTTATTGGACGAGTGTATTCGGGGGCGCTGTTTTTTTTGTCTTTCTACTGTTTTTTGGCTCTAAATAGCCCTACAATTTATTGCAAATTGTGACCTCATCAAGTGATGATCTTTCCCGTTTGTCCTTTTAAGGCTGCTTTTCCAACAGAGATGTGAGAGGATGCGTAGCGAGGGATGTGTTTGTAAAGAACCAATAGAATCGCTTCATTTACTTCGCCTCGGTAAATGAAGCGGGTCTCTCTTTAGTCCCCAGGATGCAGGCCAGGGGGGTCTCTCTTGACCCCAGACCAGGATTGAGGCCCTAATGCAGCCCCAAGATACTCACTAGGGGCTTCTCTCGTTGCTCCAGGTGGGAGCTCTCTCGTTGCGTCAGGTTTTGGACTTAGGGGTCTCTAACAAGCCCCTAGGATTTGGACCAGGAACAGAAAGAAGTAATACCTGCTGCAGCTGTTCAGCAGTGACCGGCGGCTGCTGCGGCGGCTGCGGTTGCGGCTGCGGCTGCGGGTATTGCGCCGGCGCCGGGTACACCGGCATCGCTGCGTAGCCCATGCCGGTACTTGGGACTACTAGCACAGTAATATCAAGGCTGGGAAGACAGCCAGGACTTGGCCTGGGGGTCTCTCTAGACCCCAGGATGCAGGTGAGGCCCAGAAGAGGGCGAGGATAATTTGCATCGATGTGGTGCAGGCCTACATACTAGCCTGGGGGGTCTCTCTTCGCCCCAGAATTTAGGTCTCATGCAGACCAGGATTGAGGGCCCCAACGCGGCTCCAGGATATTCACCGGGAGCTTCAGGTTTTGGACTTATAGGTCTCTAACAAGGCCCCTGGATTTAGTTGGAATGCCGCCAACTGACCCACCTGGAGGAAAAAAGTATGTCCTAGCGAGGCCATACCTGTTACAGCTGCCCGGCGGTGACCCTTTAGGCAGTCTGTGAAAACCTCTAAATATGCTCTTCTAGATACGACTAATTTTGTTTTTAACCACTTCTTGCTCAGGACCACCTAGGGGAACAGAGCAAGTTCATACCTGCTGCAGCTGTTCAGCAGTGACCGGCGGCTGCTGCGGCGGCTGCGGTTGCGGCTGCGGCTGCGTGTATTGCTACTTGGGACTACCAGCACAGTAGTGGCCAGGATCAATGGGAGACAGCCAGGACTTGGCCTGGGGGTTTCTCTAGATCCCAGGATGCAGGTGAAGCCCAGAAGTGAGCCAGGATATTTTTCATCGAAGTGCCAGCCAGGATTGGGGGTGTCTTTAGGTCTCATGCAGACCAGGATTGCGGGCCTAATGCGGTCCCAGGATATTCACCAGGGCCCTGTATACTTGGAGCTTTCTCGGAGCCATAGGGGTCTCTAACAAGGTTATGGGCCATCGACGGGAACATCGCTGGATCCACCTGGAGGAACAAAGCAAGTCCTATCAAGTTCATACCTGCTGCAGCTGCTCAGCGGTGACCGGCGGCTGCTGCGGCGGCTGCGGTTGCGGCTGCGGCTGCGGGTATTGCGCCGGCGCCGGGTATACCGGCATCGCTGCGTAGCCCATGCCGGTACTTGGGACTACCAGCACGGTAGTATAAAGGCTGGGAAGGCAGCCAGAACTTGGCCTGGGGCTGGGAGTCTCTCTCTTGTCCCTAGGATGCAGGCTAGGCCCAGATGTGGTGCAGGCCTACGTCCCGTTTAGGTCTCATGTAGACCAGGATTGAGACCCTAATGCGGCCCCAGGATATTCATCGAGGGCTTCTCTCGTGGCTCCAGGTGGGGGCTCTCTCAAAGCCTCAACTTTTGGACTCTTGGGTCTCTAACAAGACCGAAGTAATTATGCAGTATAAGTAAGGTCGTAAGTCCTATCAGGGTCTGACCTGTTGCAGCTGCTCGGCAGTGCCCTTGGAACTTGCTGTAGTGGCCAGAATTAAGGGGAGACAGCCAGGACTTGGCCTGGGGATCTCCAGACCCCAGGATGCATGCCAGGGGGTCTCTCTTGACCCCAGACCAGGATTGAGGCCCTAATGTAGCCCCAGGATACTCACTAGGGGCTTCTCTCGTGGATCCAGGTGGGAGGTCTCTCGTTGCGTCAGGTTTTGGACTCAGGGGTCTCTAACAAGCCCCTAGGATTTGCACCAGGAGAACAGAAAGTAAGTCATACCTGCTGCAGCTGTTCTGCGGTGACCGGCGGCTGCTGCGGCGGCTGCGGTTGCGGCTGCGGCTGCGGGTATTGCGCCGGCGCCGGGTACACCGGCATCGCTGCGTAGCCCATGCCCGTACTTGGGACTACTAGGACTGGTGGGAACGCCGCCACCGCTGCCGGGCCCACCTGGAGGAATAGACGCATTAGATAATACAAACTGCGATCAAGTACCTGCCTTGTTAAGAAAGAATGACAAAATAATTATTTCACAACTAAATTGCACACAAACATTCATCAAAAAAAGAAAACAAAATTTGTCAAAGAGGTGACCCAATGAGTATCATCTTGACATGTTACTGCCAAGACACTGGTTTTCAATGGGCGCCTTGTAAAAAAGGCACCTAACTCTTTTCTAATGTGAACAATTTCTTTTAAAAGGCCTTAAGTAGCATTATGGATGCATTGGCGTATCTAGGTCATTTTTCAAGGAGGGAATAGCCCCTACATGCCATGACTCTTTTATAATGCGAACAGCTAGGAACTGGAATTCGCTGCCTGGTGCTGTCTTTCCCGAACATTAATCCGGACCTTTTCAAGGCGAGAGTGAATAGGCACTTACAGGGCAGATATATGTACCATGCAGACTGCATCTCACTTAACACCAGATGCGATTGTGGTCAAATACCTGCCTTGTTCTGCATAAAAAAAGCGATACGGCGATTGGTATCGTGGCATGTCCCCCTGACATGAAGTAAGTATCACAACTCATGAAGTAAGTATCACAACTCATGAAGTAAAGAGCACTATCAACAATCATCTTTGTAGTTGTGGAAACCCTGCAGTGGACGGAATTTGCTCAAAACGAACTCACCGAATAACTGAGGACGAGGTTGATCATGCCCTCCACTCCATCGCCTTGCTTGCCGTTCAGAGGGTACCAGTCTTCGTGTGTCTCTCCCTAGAACATACAACCATTTAAATTAACAAGTCGACGGTTAAGAATCAATACCATCTATCTCAAAAAAGTCAACTTTACAGGAGATAAAAAAAACGTTTCATTGCTTCAGCTTATAAGTTACTAGAAATGTTAAAATCGCTAAAAAAGGTAAATAAATACTGGAAAATGTTATGTAAACTTAGATTGACGTAATATTGCCATATACCAAGATAACCTGAGTTAGATGGTATTGGTTCAAAAGAGTTAAAAAAAATATATTTATCTACTAGATAGGTGCTTTTGGACAAAAATAACTAGTAAAAAATCAAGTAGCTTATTAATCAATAACATGAAAAGAGGTTGTTAAATAACTTACATTAATTTGTATTTTACAAATGAGGCAAAGAATCATACAAGTCATGGCATTCTGCTGGTAGAACTAGTTTGAATTCTTGCAGATGTTGGTTTTTTGACGCAGTTATGGCTGTGGCATAAGGAATATCAAAATCTTAGTCAAAATTGTGTTTTACGTTAATAACATTTTCATCCGAAGACCTAATTGTTGGGAAACTCGATTAAGGTCTTTAAACATTGTGTAGAGGTCTTCCAGCGAATGACCATAATATTTTCGGCAAACCGAAGGTGAGTGATGTACCTACTCGCCATTAATTTATATTTATGCAGAATCCTTTCCAATTCTGGAGTTTGGAAACATTTTGTACAAGCACCTCGATGTACCGATAGTCGATACGGCACCACTGGAGAGACTACATGCAGCAATGCCCATGTCTCGATCGAATCGAAGTCTACGAACGCCAAGCAAAGGGCAACTTATACTCCTCGGTCTTCTGTATACCTGCCACAGCGTATGGATGTGGTCTTTGCGAAAATTGGCTTGTGCCTGGGAGGCTTAAAGTCATCAAACCTACGCGTGAGACGATTCGTGATGACTCTTGAAAACAGCTTGTAGACATAGCGCATTAGGGAGATGGGTCTGTAATTCTTCAGTAAGGTGTTATCTCCCTTTTTGAAGAAAAGCACCACCATGGTTCTGTTCTATGCCTCTGGCGCTATTCCCTCGTGTAAGACGAAATTAAAAGCCTCTGAAGGATCATCAGTATCGGTGTTCCAATCGCGTTCAGAAGTTCCGAGGTTATTCCGTCATCACCTGGTGCCTTGTTGTTCTTAAGCTGTTTGAGTCATTCTAATTAGGGCTTGCAATATCGGATAGTTTTCAACTCCGGAACTGATTTCCGATATTGGGCACTCAACTCCGGAATTCCGGTTCTAGTTCCGGAGTTGGTTAAAAAAAGAAAGCGCCTCCCGAAAAACACGTACACGTATGTATGTAGCCTCCACTTCAGAACCTTGCCCCATCGGCCGTCTGTTCTACGTACTATGTGCCCTGCCCATTGCCACTTTAGCTTGCTAATCCGATCGCTTTATGTCAGGCGACNTTTCTTGAAGAAAAACACCACCTAGCCTTTGTCCAAGACGGAGTTACAGTCTCTGAAGGACTTTCAGTATCGGCTTATTACCCGCCGCGTTCAGAAGCTCCGAGGTTATTCCGTCATCACCTGGTGCCTTGTTGTTCTATAGCTGTTTGAGAGCCATCCTAATCTCGTAAGGCTGTCCGGGATATCTTCGGTATAGTGTCGAGTTAGCTTAGCTCTTGGAAATATCCTGTGGCTGAGCTATTAACAGGTTTGGTGACAGAGTTATAATATAGCTGTCCATAAAAACTTTTCGATCTCACCAGAACCCTCAGCTTTTGTTGAATTTACACTATCATCCGCTGTCTTCAGTCAGCTGACTTCGCCCATTAGTTGTCTTTAGCGAACATTTCGGAGCTTTGGTTCCGCTCTATTGCCTCTTTAATATTATTAGTAATACAGTTGCGAATACATATATTAAGGACTTCCTTATCTAAGGACCTATTTTGATACTTAAACGTTTTCAAAACTTAAAATAATTTATGAAAAATTTCAATATCGGAATACGATATTGGCTTCAGTTCCGGAATTGAAATATCGGAAAAAATCTATCCGAAATTCCGGAGTTACGAAATTCCGGAATTCCGGTATTCAAGCCCTAATTCTAATCTCGTATAGGCTGATATCCGGTATATCTTCGGTATATTGTCGAGTTAGCTCAGCTCTTGGATCTGTGGTTTACATATTAACAGGTTTGGTGACCAAGGTATGCCTGTAAAACCTCTCAGTCTCACCCAGAACCTCGGTCACACTACCGTACACCGTCTTTAACTTAGTGAGCTGGCTTAGCTTAATAGAGTTGTCTCTTGTGAACACTTTGGAGCCTTGGTTCCGCTCTATCGCCTTTTGAATAAGAGTACTATTAGTTAAAGTTGTGAACATTTTGTCAACTTTATCTCATGTATTTCTGATTTTCAACTTACAATTATCAAGTTCTCATACGCTATAAATATAATGAAACACGTCTACTGTACAATGAAAGTAAAAAATACTGAATAAAGTAACTTTTTACCACCTTTCTACAGGGTGGAAACGATAAGTGATCTCACTCCATTATTTCTAAACTATACAAGATATCGAAAAACTGGTTACTGGTTCTGAAAGTGCTTCATAAGCTCTTTCAAACGGTACCAATAATAGGTTACAGAATAAACTGGAACTATCCCAAAATTCAATGTTTCCAGCTTCCATACTAAATGTATGCCGACGACACAATATTAGAAGTGTAATTTATTTTTAAAATAATAAACTTAAAAAGTCGGTTAAGTAAACTCGTAACTTGCATCTTATTTAAAATTATTTGTGAAAAACATTAGTTTTAAGCTTTACTTGCTATAAAAATTATCAAGAGATTAGTGCCATGACTGTGATTGTACGAAATGTATGGAAGACGGAAAAATTGAATTTTAGGATTAATCCAGTTTATTCTGTAACTTGATATTGATACCTTTGGATAGAGCTCGTGAAGCACTTTTAGGATCAGTAACCAGTTTTACGAAATCTTGTGTAGTTTTTAAAATTATGTAACTTTACCAAATGTATGGAAGCTGGAAACATTGAATTTTCGGATAGTTCCAGTTTATTCTGAAACCTATTATTAGCACTGTTTGAAAGAGCTCGTGAAGCACTTTCAGGATCAGTAACCAGTTTTTCGATATCTTGTATAGTTTAGAAATAATCGGGTGAGATCACTTATCGTTTCCACCCTGTATAATTCTTTGAAGAGAGATAGACAATATTGGCAGAAAATTTTTCGTGCTCTTAACATAGGTGGTATTTCTATAGCAAATAACTTTGGAAATACTGTGAATATTGAGATAAGAGTGTCAACAACCTGTGCCAAATTGGACTTTAAATCTATTGGCATTAAAAAGTGAAAACCGCCAAAACTTGAGATAGATGGTATTGATTCTTAACCGTCGAAGTGTTACAATACACTACTGTACTTTACTAAATACATTGAGATAAAAGGCAGCATAATTATTTTAGTAACGAATTGATTAACCCCCGATAACATTCAATTAGTTAATAATCGTTGATTAACAACAACAAATGAATTTCCCATTTATTTTGTATGGAATAGATAAGGCGTAACTTTTTGTCTACTTAATAGACACCATTATTTGATTGATGTATGTATGTATTTTACGTACAGTGGTCCACAGTTCTAGAATCCAGCTACCCATTTCCGTTTTTTCTTTCGCTCTCATCAAATTGCGATTCTTTGCGATAGAACGAGACAACATGACCATGATAGTGCATACCATGTTTGGTAGTCTGTAGCTGTATCTAAAATAAATAAATTAAAAAATCACAGTCTTGTATGTTACTTACGTTGAGCACAGCTTGCGGTATGGTGATGTGGGACCAGGCGATCAGCTCGTCCATCGTGAACGAGCATTCGTCGAATATCTCCAGGTATATTGAGTTCACGCCTGGCGGCAGGAGGCTGCGACAAGGGCAATCAAGGTTATCATTTGGGGAACAGACATTAGACTTGATGAAGACAATTTTATCAACGGTTTAAATAACCTCACAACCTCGCCAGAAAATAAGAGAAAATGATAAAATTACACACAATGGCCGGACAATAAAGTTAATATTCCTTTGGAATAGAGTAACAACCTGTCAAACGAAACCGATTTTAGGATGTCACTGGATGTCATTAATTTGTGTGTCAGTTTTCAGGATTATTTCACTGTTTTGTACAATAATCACCACATTTCTGATAAACATCCACGATTTGACTCACGTAATATCTGAAAAAATGTCAGAGCTCAAATTTCCAGATTTTTAACGAACTGTCAAATAGTTGAAAAAACGGTTCTGTTACGTCGCATCACGCATCTCTTTTTATCACACAGAGTTGCTGCTAGTGACATCTTGCTCTATTCCGATAGGTATATTAACTTTATGGGCCGGACGTGTTTAGGAGGCCTGATGATCGCGTATTTTTTAACGAATTAGAAAATCTATAACATAAAAATGAATCGCAAAATGTGTTGGTAAGCGCATAACTCAACAACGCCTGGACCAATTCTTTTTTAAAAATGTTCGTTGAAGTCTAAGGACGGTTTTTACGGCGAAATTTGCAAAATTTAACCCCTAAGGGGATTTAAACGGTGTCCACGCGTACGAAGTCGTGGGCGGCCGCTAGTAGTAAGATAATAATGTCTCACCAGTGGATGACTTTGTTCCACCTCGGCGTCTTCCCACCGCTGGGGTCGGTGTGTGTCTCGTATATGCAGTGGCCCACTCGAAGACGTACGTACGGGTCCATTCGCGTAAGACCTAAAAATAACGCAATTATTTTTTACTTTTGCACCTATTATTTGTTTCTAATGACCTTGTTATAAATCGTTTTATCTAAGAAGACGCGCTCCACCACTTTTTGGGCGAGGGTAGCGCGAGGTGCGGGGAGTTTCGTAATGTAAAAAGCCACCAGAAACTTACAGGAAAGCGAATACTGCAGGGTTTTGTGCAAAATGGATACGGGACTAACATTTTCGGTATAAATGCCAAATTAGAGAACCTCCTACTGTTTTGAAGTCAGTTAAAAAGTAAAATAGAAGATAAGTCCTTACCATAATTTTTCACAAGTTTCGCCTGCACGATTGTGATACTTAGTCGGGCTGTGAGTGGAGGCCCGGCTGGGGGTAGCTGCAATGGTAAAACGAATTTTATTAAAAAAGTATTTATTAACACCACTGCATAAAATAACCCAGAGGGATTGTCTTTAACCTACTGCTAGGGTGTGAGCCGTGATAAAATATTATCGATATTTTTAGACGACAAATGTATGGGCTTATCGCGTAAAATCGACAAAATGGCGCGATAAAAGATTATCGCGCTTATGGCCCTGGGCATTGGACCAAATTAATGTATAAAAAGGGAAATATCAAAAGTGCGCGCTACGTTTCATCCGAGTTCGAACCGCATCCGTTAAAATACGGATCCATTTAATTACATAGCACGTGGTTGCAAGTTAATTTACTCTAACAGGATATCTTCAATCCAGTAATATCTACTATGTTAATAAGCATCCTTCACTAACACAATTTATTTTTATTTTATTTTATTTTACTTTATTCGGAAAACAAACTGTGTTAATTGACTTATTAACTATCTGAATATAAAGCTTTACACCAATTATATGTTTTCGCATACAAATGGTAGATAAAGTGTTTAGTTTTATAGTTCTGTTGCTGATGGAAGTTTTGGGTATAACTGTAAGTCCACAGTAAATTAAATTTAAAATAAAAAATAATAATAAACAGTGTATTGAAACCCATATTGGTACATTCTAAAACTGCCCCTAAAATATTATTGCAGATTAGCTAAACTATTGTCCAGCATAATAAGAAAAATTATAATTAGGTTAAATGAATCAAACAGATTCATTTAACCTAATCATCATTTTACTTCAAATTATTAGATGAGAATTGAGTTACAGAAGCATTATATCTAAATATTTATTAAATTCAATGAGGATCAGTACTGTTGTAGAAAATTCAATAAAACTAGTATCTACGTTAATCTTTAAGACATAAGAAAGAAAGATATATCTTTTTGAATTATCCAAATCGGACCATTACTTACGAAAATATNAATTTAAATACATACAGTAAAATGATTTAAATTTCGAGTAATTTTATTACAGAATTATTGATTAAATGGTAACCAATTTAATTAAGGTGTTTGTTCATTGGATTCGAATGCACTCAAAGAATAGGAATTATTCGATTCTGTCTCTTATAAGGTCGTCGGTACACCTTATGGGTGGACGTCACATGCTGCATTTTCCGGCTACGTCGCCATTTTTTTTTTGGAGCGAAGGTCTTTCAAAATTACAACTGTTACTTTTTGCCAGGGCAGTCGTTCACCTTTAAGTCACGAGGGACCGTTTTACCAAATTTCTGTCTTGTCAGGGACCACTTATTTTTTCAAATCCTATGAAAGGGGCGGTCGATTTCTCGCCCACTATGCGCCGATTGCATTGTGTTGACTCGACTCATCACGTCATGTCACTTGTTTATTACGATGTCTTCGTGGATCACTTGGAATGCCTCCAGGGACCACCAGTGGTCCGCGGACCACTGGTTAAGAACCACTGGTCTAGGGGGTCTGAATTGATATGCCGCAGACTGAACTAAGGTTAAGTAGACTCGTATATCTGACGTTCTATTCCGACATTTGCAGGAGCGAGTTGATGGTGGCGTCTTTATTCCCGCGGTTCGCTTCTAGCACAGACCTGATCACCTCCTTGTCGATGCTCGGGAACATTTCTTCGATCTGAAAAAGAAAGTGCAGCTTTTTTAATATGAATTCAATTTGTATGAGGGGGGGCGCTGTTTTTTTTTCATCTTCCCTGTGTTTAGATCTCTAGGGGAGACAGCTAGGACTTGGCCTGGGGGTCTCTCTCTAGAACCCAGGATGTGTTTTCATTGGCAGGTCAGGCCCAGAAGAGAGCCAGGATAATTTGCATCGATGTGGTGCAGGCCTACATACTAGCCTGGGTTGTACATACTAGCTTGGCTCTTCGTCCCAAGATTTAGGTCTCATGCAGACCAGGATTGAGGCCCTAATGCGACCCCAGGACATTCACCGGGGGCCTCTCTCGTGGCTCCAGGTGGAGGCTCTCTCAAAGCCTCAGCTTTTGGACTCTTGGGTCTCTAACAAGGCCGAAGCAATTATGCAGTAGAAGTAAGGCCGTAAGTCCTATCAGGGTCTGACCTGTTGCAGCTGCTCGGCAGTGCCCTTGGAACTTGCTGTAGTGGCCAGAATTAAGGGGAGACAGCCAGGACTTGGCCTGGGGATCTCCAGACCCCAGGATGCATGCCAGGGGGTCTCTCTTGACCCCAGACCAGGATTGAGGCCCTAATGTAGCCCCAGGATACTCACTAGGGGCTTCTCTCGTGGATCCAGGTGGGAGGTCTCTCGTTGCGTCAGGTTTTGGACTCAGGGGTCTCTATGCAGTAGAAGTAAGGCCGTAAGTCCTATCAGGGTCTGACCTGTTGCAGCTGCTCGGCAGTGCCCTTGGAACTTGCTGTAGTGGCCAGAATTAAGGGGAGACAGCCAGGACTTGGCCTGGGGATCTCCAGACCCCAGGATGCATGCCAGGGGGTCTCTCTTGACCCCAGACCAGGATTGAGGCCCTAATGTAGCCCCAGGATACTCACTAGGGGCTTCTATCGTGGATCCAGGTGGGAGCTCTTTTGGAGCCTCAGGTTTTGGACTTAGGGGTCTCTAACAAGCCCCTAGGATTTGGACCAGGAACAGAAAGTAAGTAATACCTGCTGCAGCTGCTCGGCGGTGACCGGCGGCTGCTGCGGCGGCTGCGGTTGCGGCTGCGGCTGCGGCTGCGGGTATTGCGCCGGCGCCGGGTACACTGGCATCGCTGCGTAGCCCATGCCGGTACTTGGGACTACTAGGACTGGTGGGAACGCCGCCACCGCCGCCGGGCCCACCTGGGGAGAACAGACAAATCAGTGTGCTTACCATGAGTTTACAATACGTGTGCTTGCTAACCACTGCTTAAAAAATGACAAATTGTACAGCGCCCTTAGCGGCTACTTTCAAAAACTAAAATCATCATACAAAATCAATCAAAATCAAAAATATTTATTCAGTTTAGACCACAAGTGGCACTTATGATACATTTTTGTTAGTAGTAGTGATACATTTTTGATAGCGAGCACACCTAACGTAACTCACGATAAGCGCACAGATAAAGGCCAGAGCAGACATGCTACTTTTCGACGCCATCGGCGATCGGCGTTTTTTGCAACTCTAGCTATACAGTATCGGGATTTCGCGACTTCATGCGTTCGGACGCGGTATCAGAATCGCGCATTTTCGCACTGTCGCTGTATCGACCTTCCGAAAAGTGACTCAATTGCCGCGTTGACGTTTTTATCGCTGCATTTAGCTTATCGCCGATCGCCGATGCTAAAGTAGCATGTGTGCTGTAGCTCTAAGATAGCAAAAGAAGAACAGATATAAATCAAACAAATAGCAAAAATGTTTATGTCAATAAACCAAAGATTTTCGGAACTGTTAGAGTAGGCCGCACACCGTTGATTTTTAGTTGGCCGATAGTTGTGCCCGATTTTAAATTGTATGAAGAATCGGCCAAATCGAATCGGAGTAGTGTGCGCACTCCCATACATGCCCATACTGATCAACTGCCCGACTAAACTATCGGCCGACGAAAAATCAACGGTGTGCGCCTACTCTTAGATCAAAAATGCTTTTTATAAAATTTGCTCAAAAAAGTTCCCTTCGCTGTTTTTAAGTGTACCTACATAGAATAAGTGTTCATTCAAACTTACGGAATAACTGAGGACGAGGTTGATCATGCCCTCCACTCCATCGCCTTGCTTGCCGTTCAGAGGGTACCAGTCTTCGTGTGTCTCTCCCTAGAACATACAACCATTTAAATTAACAAGTGTTACCATACACTACTGTACTAAATACATTGAGATAATCGGCAGCATAATTATTTTCGTAACGAATTGATAAACTCCCGATAACATTCAATTAGTTAATAAACGTTGATTAACAACAACAACCAAATTTCCCATTTATTTTGTATGGAAAAGATAAGGTGTAACTTTATGTCTACTTAATAGACACCTTTATTAATTTCATGTATTTGATGTATTTTACGTACAGTGGGCCACAGTTCCAGCTACCCATTTCCGTTTTTTCTTTCGCTCCCATCAAATTGCGATTCTTTGCGATAGAACGAGACAACATGACCATCAAATCAAATCAAATCATTTATTGCATTACATGTATTTACCAAGTGTTATACCATTTTGGAATCCTTACTAAATGCGCCAAATTATGACGTCACTTGCCACACTCGCGTAGTACAATTTTTTTTCAGTACAGTCAGTTTAAACTAGGGAATTTTTTTATTTTGAAAATTTTTTTTGGGAATAATGTATTTTTTCATCCAAGCTGGAGCAGCTGGTTTTGTAATTTTGATAACAATTTAGAGAAGCATTCTTCAGGGTTACATAACAAAAAAAAAATTGGAAAAAGTGAAGATTTGTGGCAACACGAGTAAAAAGACCGTCACCGGGAGTAGATTTTTTTGTTTTTTTTTTTAAATGCCTATTACATGGACAAAATGCCACATAGATTTTTTTTTATATTTTTCTGATAACCAGCATAACTTGCCTCAACACCCAGTTCCGGCTTGACGTTGCAATACGGGACACCCTGTATATGATATGATGTATGTATGATAGTGCATACCATGTTTGGTAGTCTGTAGCTGTATCTAAAATCAATAAATTAAAAAATTACAGTCTTGAATGTAACTTACATTGAGCACAGCTTGCGGTATGGTGATGTGGGACCAGGCGATCAGCTCGTCCATCGTGAACGAGCATTCGTCGAATATCTCCAAGTATATTGAGTTCACGCCTGGCGGCAGGAGGCTGTGACAAGGGCAAAAAACTCAAATTTTCAGCGTGCCAATGAGTGCTAACGAATTGTCAAATAGTTGAAAAAAAGAAGGTTCTGGGGGATTCTACCGTCACGGGTGGGACACTTGTACCTTCATTTTCAGTATGTGTAAGTAATTTAGGGTAATCATTATCAATGATATCAAATTGGATTATACACAAAATAACAAACTAACCTATGTACTTTTATAGTAACAGTAGAGACGGGGATAACACCATATAATATTAAATAAAAAAGACAGTAAATGTTTGCCACGGGTGGGACAGAAATGTGACATTCTTGTTAGACATTAATCATATTCAATAAAACTCTGCTAATTGATTAAACTTTTTAATGCAAATTACGATATTTCTTTGAGATAATAAACTGAACATAACATATGAATAGAAAATAATGCCCTATGATTCAGATTTTTTTTTACAAAAATTTAATAAAGTGTGTCACGGGTGGGACTCACAATGTCACGGGTGGGACACGTACGATTTACTAGGCAAAATAAGCCGCATATAAGTTTTTTTTCTTAAAAATATGGATGCTAAAGTTTCATAATCAGAGTCACTTCAGCTGCTTGAGTCTGTATCAGAGTATATATTTGCTTAATAGCTTTGCATCTTGTCTGATCTGAATCAGCAGTAGTAATAAATAAGTCTTTGAAAAAGTGGAGCGACTGTATTAAATTTTAAGAACAATAACAGTTGCAAGTTCAAATCACAACTGACGCACAGTGTTGGCAACTTTACGTAAGTTTCGTTTATCAATGTTTGCAACTTAATAAAAAATTAAAATAAATAAATATAATAATTGATAATATAAAACAAAACTTTAAAAAAAAGTTCAAGGTTTACTTTCTCGTAGAATCCCCTTCTGTGACCTCGCATCACATATCTCTTTTTTATCACACAGTGTTGCTGCTAGTATCAAAGGATTTGAAACAGGCCCAGCTGAACGAAGAGACAACCCAGGATCGAGCGATCTGGCGCATGAGATCGAGGAGGGCCGACCCCAAATAATGGGAAGAGGCACGGAAAGAGTGTTGCTGCTAGTGACATCTCGCTCGCTCAGTCCTTTGTTGCCCTATTCCGCTAGGTATATTAACTTTATAGGCCGGACGGGTTTAGGAGGCCTGATGGTCGCGTATTTTTCAACGAATTAGAAAATAGTAAAATAATTATGCTGAACGGGAAGGCGCTGGATGCAGGCCGCCACCAACCGGCCATTGTGGAATCATTGGGGGAAGCCTATTATGTTCAGCAGTGGACGTCCTATGGCTGAAATGATGATGATGATGATGATGAAAATAATAATGTCTCACCAGTGGATGACTTTGTTCCACCTCGGCGTCTTCCCACCGCTGGGGTCGGTGTGGGTCTCGTATATGCAGTGGCCCACTCGAAGACGTACGTACGGGTCCATTCGCGTAAGACCTAAAAATAACGCAATTATTTTTTACTTTTGCATCTGTTATTTGTTTCTAATGACCTTGTTATAAATCGTTTTATCTAAGAAGACGCGCAACACCACTTTTTGGGCGAGGGTAGCGCGAGGTGCGGGGAGTTTCGTAATGTAAAAAGCCACCAGAAACTTACAGGAAAGCGAATACTGCAGGGTTTTGTGCAAAATGGATACGGGACTAACATTTTCGGTATAAATGCCAAATTAGAGAACCTCCTACTGTTTTGAAGTCAGTTAAAAAGTAAAATAAAAGATAAGTCCTTACCATAATTTTTCACAAGTTTCGCCTGCACGATTGTGATACTTAGTCGGGCTGTGAGTGGAGGCCCGGCTGGGGGTAGCTGCAATGGTAAAACGAATTTTATTAAAAAAGTATTTATTAACACCACTGCATAAAACAACCCAGAGGGATTGTCTTTAACCTACTGCTAGGGTGTGAGCCGTGATAAAATATTATCTATATTTTTAGATGACAAATGTATGGGCTTATCGCGTAAAATCGACAAAATGGGGCGATAAAAGCTTATCGCGCTTATGGCCCTGGGCATTGGACCAAATTAATGTATAAGAAGGGAAATAGCAAAAGTGCGCGCTACGTTTCATCCGTGTTCGAACCGCATCCGTTAAAATATGGATCCATTTAATTACATACCATGTGGTTGCAAGTTAATTTACTCTAACTTAGCATCCTTCACTAACACAATGGTAGATAATGTGTTCAGTTTTGTAGATCTGGTATTGGAACCCATATTGGTACATTCTAAAACTACCCCTAAAATATTATTGCAGTTTAGCTAAATTATTGTCCAGTGTAATACGGAAAATAATAAATATGTGACCACTGTTTATTGGGTTGGTTAGTCAGATGTCAAGTGCCTTAATAATTAATCTGTTTACATTATTTTCGTTTCGTTTACATTATTTTACTTCAAAATATTCGATGAGAATTGAATTACAGAATATAATTACATAAAATAGTTTTTCAAACTCAAGTCATAATAAAAGTTATTAAACTCACTGTAGAACCGCTCAACTGCTGTTGCAGCGCCAGGGCTGCTTGGTAGTCCGCATCAACGTTTTCCGTAGTCCCGTCTGCTCTGAGAAAACCAGACGGCAGGGGACCGAGCAGCACCTTTGAATATTGTATAAATTATATAAAATATCGACCCAAAAACCGTGGGCAGTTAGAAACCTAAACAAATAATGATAAATTAAAATATGTATAAAAGATCTTTAACTGAAATAACATTAATTGATTAATTACCTACTTCAGTTTTGTTTAATTGAAGATCTATTTAACTTATGCTACACAACATTTTTGTAGTTTTATTCACCCTTTTTAATCAATTTTAGAGGAGATGATAGATAGATACTTTTAATTGCCTACTGTGGTGTGTAATATCATAAGTAGTCATATCTATCTCTTACATAATTAAAATTCCAGTTTCTTCTAATTGGTAACAATTTATCAAAATATAAGTCAAATCCAAGAAAGGGTTTATAGTAATATTCACAATCTATGGTGGAGTCAAGAAATAAGAGGTTAATCTTATCTTTAATCTTGAATGAATGAGTCATTGTTATTATTATAAATGATATCTATGCTATTCTGGCAAATTGATAATTTTGATAACATCAGTTGTTAACATTTTCTTAATGCAAAAACAAAGACTTGCAATAAAATAAAATAAAAGGTATTTATTTCAGGCATAGCCCATAAAAGTGTTAGTAACAAAGGTCTTATAAACTATGGTTAGTAAATTACACAGTAACCTATAAATAAATAAGTTACAAATTTGTTAATAAATAAGTAACAAATACATATAGGATGTTAAATAATGATCTATCTCATCAATGTCATGATTTCCAGTGTTAATTAGATTAACAAAAGCATTTTTACAAATAGTTGGTTGAAAAATATGATGAAATATGTGCTTAACTACCAGTTCGTACAATTACCCTCTGACCATCATATTTTATGTATGTGACATAGGTACATGACTCTTTAGGTTAGCAAACATCTCTGGAATTTTCCAACCACATAAAATTACATCAATACATAGGTACAATTACATTAATACATTCCAAAGCAGACCAAAAAAGGTTGTTGAGTTACTTATACCGGTCAAGAAACTAGTTTACGGTTTTAAATATAGATTTAGAATTAATTAAAAGGAGTAAGCCGCGTGAATCACGCAAAATCTACGTTTTATTATCGCTATCTTAGTGAGACACATTCAGCAACACTCACCCTTCTACGGCGCTCCTCGTTTCTATCATCAGGCACAGTGGAAGTCATTTTCGAATTTAGCACTCTTATAATCAACAGCAATTAGAAATTAATGCAGATTTCGTGCAAAAATATAATTATTGCAGTAGTTCAACAATTTCGTCTTTCAGCAGCGATGACAAACAATACAACTTTGACAGTTGATTGTCATTTTGGTCAATGGGGGCGTTTGGCCGAAAATATAATTTTTGAGAAATTGTTAGCAAAATGGCGATCGCCCATGGCAATCGCCAAAAACTTGAGCATGTTTTCATCAAGGACACGTATGCTAACTTCAAGTGACGTTTTTCAATACATTTTATTAGCAGTGATAATAGCACTTTTACCACTAAAAGGACGCTATAGCCTGACCAGGAACATAAAAACCCTCGCCATGTTGCGGAAAACTAATGGTACTAATTTCTTTTAATGGCAACAGTAACTGAAATAAAAAAAAAACTTCATTGACATGTCACCTTGCATGTCAGTCTATTGCTGTCAAAGTGTAAACAAACTTTATTTTAAATGTGCGCAATTGGTTTTGGTTTTATAAAATATTTTTATAGTCGTGAAAGAAAAGTGGTTCACAATGTGTTAAAGTATTTGTCGAAGAGAAATACTAAGGGTTCGGACAATATTTTCATTGAATAATGTTTCCGACAAAGGTTGTCAAATTGACTGTCATATTTATTGTATAGTACAGTCCACTATGAAAATTATTTGTTTCAACTACCTATTTTAAAAAAATTGTCACTTTCTAAGTGTTGAATNGTAATTATTGCAGTAGTTCAACAATTTCGTCTTTCAGCAGCGATGACAAACAATACAACTTTGACAGTTGATTGTCATTTTGGTCAATGGGGGCGTTTGGCCGAAAATATAATTTTTGAGAAATTGTTAGCAAAATGGCGATCTCCATGGCAATCGCCAAAAACTTGAGCATGTTTTCATCAAGGACACGAGGACACGTATGCTAACTTCAAGTGACGTTTTTCAATACATTTAATTAGCAGTGATAATAGCACTTTTACCACTAAAAGGACGCTATTTATCTTACTAGCCTTAACAATGCTATTTTCGGCCAAACGCCCCCTGTAATTTTTTTCAAACTGGTTGTGTTCTTTTCTTAAATAGAGTTTTATAGTTTTGATCATCATTCATTTCTTGAAACCAGAAGTCCGATTTTTTTGGTCATGTTGACTTTGTGAAAATTTGTTTAAAAATAAGAACAGTCCACAGCTGACATTTGTCATTTTTTACGTCAAGTCAAGCTTCAATCAAATGCCAAATTTTTCTAAAGTTTGGATTGTGATTTGTATTTCTATTTAATTTACTGTTATACCTACTTTCTACAGCTAAAGTGTTTCGTCTCCGTTTGTTACCTTTATTTTGAGTGCTAACCTGTGTTTTGAACTGAGACTGGCGGACTCCAAATGCGCTAAAAGCTTTTAGTTGCAAAGTGTGTTTGGCTACATTATCGATTACCTACCAGTTATTTTGCCATGGATATCATCAAAACTCCTAAGGTATGTAAATTATTTTGAGGTAAACAACTGTATTTAGTGCCATACGGGTTCATAATGGTTATCGGACGATACTTGTGTGACATTGGTAACGCACTCAATAATGTTTTTATCACGCTTTGTGTCGTGAAAGCGTATGGTTTTTTGTGATTTATTTCTGTACTGAAAGCCACGACGTGACAGATGTTACAATATGTTATAGAAAACGGAACATTTCAGTTTGATTTTGTAATGTAAAATAGTTTGTTAGGGACCTGAAGTTTTCAATAAAATTTCATATTATGAAAAAATGGCAACTGTAGTGTTGATAAGGGTGACTGATAAGAACATTATGTAGCCAAAGCCACCCACTACATGATATGACGTTTGTGTTTGGAGCTTTGACTAGCTAGCCACCACACCTAGTATCTCTAGTAAAAAAACTAAAACCAGCCTTAAATCTTACATACAAATAAACAGCTAATGAAGTTATAAAAGCCTATTAAAACAGAGCTCAATTTTCTCTACAGATAATGAGGCAAATATCGTACCACATTTTATTAGATTTAATGTAAACAAATTGACATTGCAGTCTTCATTTACATCTGCAACTTAGTTATAATTACTTCGATAGCTAATACACTCAATGTTTCATGAGAGTATAGAATGATATAGTCAACATAGTATCCTTATCAATGTTTTGATTAATATTTAACTATCTTCATAAAGCCAAGTATATGTTAGGCATGGTTTCATTTACCAAATAAAGCATATTTTACTGTATACACTCTTTCTCTACATGTTCATTTAATAGCTTAAGGAAATATTCTAACCCACAATAAGATAAATGTACCTTTATGTTACTGAAATTAAATTGGACTATCAAAATTAAGTTTAATCATACACCCATTTATTGACTTTGTAGAAAAGGCTAATTTCATCTCATTCATTTTGTAAACAGTAAAGTACTGTTTGTTTGCTAAGTGAATGTAGTTTAACCTCATGAACTTCAAGATAAGGACTATTTTCAATGCAGTTTACTCTGTCTTATCTCAACTTAGATAGCTCCTGTTATTAAATTTCTCACTAATGATTGGAGAAGTGGTCAGGTCAGTCTGTATAAATATAATTACTATTACTATAATATCTAATTAGTCTAATACTACTTGTTAATTAATGCTCATAAATTTTTTAAAGAAAAACTTTGGTAACATTTTAGTAGAGATGAAACGGATAGTTGTTTGGCCGGATACCGGATACCGGATATCCGGCCAGCTGCTAGGCCGGATAGCCGGATATCCGGCGGCCGGATAGTTGGCCCATTGTCTCGTTGCATGTCGTGACGGTTTTAGCGTCGCACAGGTGCTTCGAATGCGATCAGTGAGTCTAGTACACTAGACAAGCCACATTTTTCGAAAATCGAATCCGTCCGAATCCGAATAGAATGTCAGATTTTGCAACTTGTCTAAGGGGCAGAATCAATGAAGAATGTTCACTAATTTTGTTTTTTAGCTTTCTGGATTCTCTGTTAAAAATAAAAAATACACGTGAAAGAATTATTTCGATACGTCGATTAGTTTCCAAGATATTGAATTTTAAAGGTGCGGGCGGCGGCCGGCCCGCCATTTTATGCGCGTGACGTCATATTATAGTCACTGGCTCAAATTTATATGGGTGGAATCTTGCAAGCCTGAATTAAGACCCACTTCCGGACAACCGATTCAGCTGAAATTTCGCATACACATGTAATTTGGATGACCATGCAATATTATGATGACATGGAGCTGATCTGCTGATGGAGCTGGAAGGTGGCCATAGGAACTTCATAATAAAACGACTTAACTCCATCGAGTTTGGGCTCGTTCGTTTTGTATTGATTGACGAGTACTTCAATTCTATACAGGGTGTTAGGTAAATGGGTATATGAGCCGACACTAGCCCATGGTAACATGGTCATATAAATGGTATGGTGAAGTCAGAAAATTCATATCTTCATTTTAATTATTTTATTTTTCATACAAATCGGATTTTATAAAATTTATTTGTATGAAAATTTAAAAAAATAAAATGATGATATCCTGACTTCACCACACCATTTATATGCCCGTGTTAACATGGCCTAGTCTCATATACCCATTTACCTAACATCCTGTATACTATAGTAATCAGGGTCTGATGATGGCTCTGGAAGGAACTTCGCAATAAAACGACACAATCGCATCAAGTTTGGGTTTGGTTCAATTTTAATTTCTGTGATGGGTCTGGGTGTTAATATGTATAATATGTATGTATTTACAGAAAAAAAATGTATTTAAGTATGTTTAAATCCGTTGTCAAGTGAGCGGACACTGTAAATGTACTCGATATTTAAGCGAACTTTGAATGCCTATAAAATCATAACTACTTGGTATTTTTGAATGAAATAAAAACAAATGTATTTGTATATGTAAAAGCTTAACTGTAACAAAGGTTTCAAGTGATTTTGCATACCTAGTAACATTCTCAATTCGGGCGATTCCGGTTGCCATCGTGAGTGTGTGATTGAATAGCGAAAATTAAATTAGTTTACTTGCTGCGTAATCTGACTGAACTACATCATGTCATCAGACCATGAGTGAAAAAAAATCGCCTATTTTAATTGGTTATATTTCGACATTAACAGATATTTACTATTTATGTATTCGTCATTACATAGAGTGAGTAGCCCAGAAAAATATATTAGTATTTTGAAAGGCTTTTTTGTAACTTTTTGGACTTTAAATAAAAGCCGTCATTATTATAAGCCATTTTATTGATATTTACCTCAAAGATTAATGCATTTCACATTATTGTCGTAGTTTTTTAATATCCGGTATCCGGCCGGATAGTGAGTTACTATCCGGTATCCGGCCGGATAGTAAATTTAGGCCGGATATCCGGCCTACCGGATAGTTACCGGATATCCGTTTCATCTCTACATTTTAGTAATCCCATCTTTTTGTTTGATCCATGGAAATGGTGATTTTCTGCACTTTCTATGAATAATCAGTGTATCTTTGCCTCAGTTCACTTTCAGATTAGGTTCATAGCAACTTTTTATGCTCAATTATGAGAGGAATATAAGTTCCACTAATTAGACAGTCATCATTGCAGTTAGTGGTCAGTTTATGTAATCATTACATAAAGAAAAATCTCCATTACCATTCAGGTTCTATGTAGTTATGCTCTACTAACAGACTCTGCGGTAAAAGATAAAACTGATGTGAAATCAGAATAATCTCAACCATTTTCCCTCTTAAAAGATTATATGCTTTATATCAGTGTGTGTCTGTCTTATGGCGAGGGTCAGTAACTAAAATAGGTCAAATAAATTCCGGAAGTTTTCCATGAGTGCGACAAGAAATCGCAGTTTTATTGCACGTCGTAAGATTTGTAGCCCGTGATACGTCACATAGAAATGAGTACCGGAACACGTGTGTTTGGTGGTGCAAATTAAAACAGCTGTCACCCTTTGATGTACTGCGAACCGGTACATTCCGTCTCGCTTGTGCGCGCATGCTCTGTGACCGGGACTCCTGCCCCTTGGCATTTGAAAATGGGGCGTAATTGAAGACAATAAAGCGTAACATCGTTCAATGCAGCGGTTCCAGGTTCAAAATGCGAATATTGCGATGGCGGAGCACAGATTACTGTCAGACTCAGTTCACTCAGTCGCTGTAGCGGCGTCGCGGGGTTACGTCGTGCCTGACCCACGCGGGATTATCCTCTACTTTTAGCAACTTCACTAATGAGGTTCTAATTGGAAAAGTTTCTTTCGGTCACCTTCTTGTCTGTTAACAGCTCCCGAAACTTGTGACGGTTATTAAGAAGAAGTTGCGTAAATATTGCCGAAGTTTGAAGTGGTAGTAACATAACTTTAGTTTATTGCTGTGATAAGATTAACTTAGCGTTCTTGAGTTACGCGGTTTATTTTGTAACTGAGTGACAGTTTGGTTTTTGAAAGCAAATGAGAGTTTAAAAGTTAAGGGTAGTTAAACAAATAATGGCGCTCAGTTCTTTGACGCCGTCAAGCATGCTGGGCGAGTTGGGTCGCCTGGCCAGCTGGTTGAAAGGCGACTGCATCTCCGCTGAAGAATACGCTGGATTAGCAGTTACAGAAAAGGTGAGAAGATTAAAAAGCAGCTTCAGGAAAAATATCACGAAAATACAAAGCACCCAACCAACACACTTCAATAGTTTACTTCGAGCATTCGAGTAACGCATTTATTAGTAGTTCCATAAAGTTGCAAGCAAGATGAACAAGTAGATCCTTGTCACACAAAAAAGTGGTCTTAAAAATTAGGGCCACCGGTGTTAATGCCGAAAACTTATGCCGGTTCAAAACTTTATATTTCAAATGTTTTCCAAAACTAGGATTGGTATTGATCGCACCAATCATTATTCTGCTCCAACGAGTCTGAATAATGGCAAAAAATATTTGAAAGGGCTCAAAGCATCGCTCTTCTTGATCTCAAAAACACTTTGTTCTTCAAAAGACTTTATCTCGAAGTAATTAAGGCGCAGATCCTCTTTTGATTCAGGAAAACCGCTTTGAAGACACTGCACTGATTCCAAAGGCTCATTACGAGTACTGGCTCTGAACCATTCATTAATGGGAAGGAACACTAACTAGCTCGTCGCGTGATCTCACCAGTTCATTTTCAGTAGAACCGAGAAAGAAGACAGTGAAAAACAGGTTAATTGCTATTCGGACCCTCACACGAATACTTCTGTATCTGAGCCATTGTAAAAGTTATCCTTTTGATAGATTTTGGGCACAGAACCCTACAAAGTACAGACAAGAGCACGTCAAGCTAAACCCTGCCATCTATGCAGCTGTAATAAGTGTTATTTTTCAACAAAAATGCAGTCTGTTATGCTGCTGTTGACTGTACAAAGATTGGGACACATATCAGTAGACCTTTGAATGTAGGTCGTCAGGACATGACCTTGACCGAATTCGGCTTCCCATTGCAGTCACGTCGACTGCATCCCGATAACTTCCCGAACACGTCACGTAACTCATCCCGTCCCGTCCGTGACATTATTTGGAATTGGAATTCTTTAAAGTGGATACGTTATTTGGCTGACAATCCTTCCTAATGTGGTATCTTATAGAAATTTTAAGTTAAAGTCCTATATTCCATTATTATGCCACTTTTCATTCCCACTGCAACTATAGATCGTTTCATCCACAAAGACGCGCCCCATCATTCTTCCGCCACTGTTTGAGTGTTATCGGTATACGCAAAATTATCCATGAGTGCACACTCACACTACAATAATGATGCTCGGATTGCTCGGATTAAACTCCCCGCACCCCGCGTTTCCCTCGACCAAAAATTGGTGGGGCGCGTCTTCGTGGATGAAACGATCTATACTCAAGGATCTACCTAACAGTTTGGCCGGCATCAAACCCAGTTAAAAAAATTCTTGATCTTGATTAGAAGCTGAATCCAGCTCGATATCCCAACTTTTTCTATTTTATAAAATAAAACCAATATTGATTCAGTTGTCTCCCCAGATTCACATACTCAAGTCAATACATATCTATGACGAATAGGTATTCTCTAAGGTACATTCTTAAGTCTTTTCTTTTTCAGTAGGTACTCGTATTCATCATACTGACCAACTTATTAATATGTAGCTTTAGTAGAAAGAAGGTTTATTATGCATGAGTATGAGGATTATAAAGTTTCACAGCGAAAGGTCAGGGTTGGGAAGTTACGTAATTTACAACTGTCAAAAGGACTAAAACAGTCAAATCTGCCCCCGCAGTCTTAATGTACTCGTATTAATGTGATGTTATGATACCAAACTACCTCTAAATATCTAGCTCCAAACAATTCCATGCTACATTTGGTGGATTTCTTTTCTAGAATATGTATCTTCCACAAGGTTGAACTGTCTCCATTATAGACTATATTTTTTGCAGTCAAGTTACGCAAGAGTTACTTTGGCGTGCAAAATTAGTTCAGATTCCGTTTTTCGGAATATATGCCAGTTGGAAACTTGGAATGGTAAAGGTCAACTGTAAATAGATCGAGCTCACAATTACAAAATTGATATATCTTCTAAAAGCCACATTAATATAATCTCTACATTTCATACTGGTTTCTAATTTTACTTAGTTTGTTATTTTTGATGTTTACTAAGTGGTAGGTAGGCGTATCTAATATTAATAATGTATTCGATGTCGAACAACCATTTTATACAGTTTGAATGAATCTAAATGATACCTATTTAAATCGGAACATGATGGTCCATTGTTGAATCGCCAACCAAATTTATAAGCTTAGCCCACGGACTTCATTCCAGTAATTGCTCAGGGTCTTAAGGGAGAAGAGACGAAATTGAACTTACATACATACATATAGATGATGAATAAAATCCTCTGAGGTGCCGTTGAAACCGACGCTGTAGCGCTGCATAAAAATCTAGCTAGGCTTTACATGTATATTGTCCAATTTACTGAAAGTTTATACAAATAAATTATCCAAAGGAGATTACAGAAACGGGAAACCTCCGCTTAAAAACTTGTAAAGAAAACATCTGCGTTCGGCGTAACTAAATTGATTTTCTTGTCTGTCCTAGTATTAGTTAAGTTCTAATAAAATTACCTGATAAAACATAAGGCTGATCAAATCAAATCGTTTATTCATTACTTAGGCCCTTAGACCCTTTCCAGGGCGCCTATGGCTACACACGTCCCAAATATAGCTTGCCCTACCACCACTTCGGGACAACATGTGGGCTGATGCTGAGAAGAAGGATCTAGAGATCCTAGGGTTAACGTGTATTATTTTCTATGTCCGTTTTATTTATTACTAGCTTTCCGCCCGCGGCTTCGCCCGCGTGGAATTTTGTCTGTCACAGAAAAAGCGTATCGCGCGCGTCCCTGTTTCAAAAACCGGGATAAAAACTATCCTATAATGTCCTTTCCCGGGACTCAAACTATCTCTATGCCAAATTTCACCAAAATCGGTTCAGTGGTTTAGGCGTGAAAGCGTGACAGACAGACAGAGTTACTTTCGCATTTATAAAATATTAGTATAGATGTATGTACGTCGTAATGCGTAAATCTGACCTCTCGCTAATCGTATTCAGGACACGTCGGAGGCTACGGAGCTGAAATTGTGATATATTGTGTTGACAGATAAAATATACTTTCCGTTCGCGTTTCTACGTTGTTTACATTGTGGATTGGAAGTGTTGTGTGTTTACTCAATTAAACGAACAGGAATATGCCTTGCTTGTATGTGTCTACCATCAAATCTATCTTCGTCACTTCATTAGATTATCTAAATGGTTAATAAAGGCTTAAAGTATGTACCTATTTCTGAAATATGTATAAAGAGATCTTGTGCCGCCGACTGCTAAAGTCACGTCATATAAAATATCACAAATTCTTTTCTTTTTATACCACGGCGAGTGCTCTTAACACAAAGGAACGATAAGGACTTCATAGACCGAGTCCCTTTTTATTCTAAACGGCTTCTCTAGCGTGAATCAGGCAAAGAAATCTTGAATCGGATCTGCGAATATAAATAGAAATTCGCGTCCTTAAAATACAATAAAACTTGCTTACTTCATAAAACATATTCCATTGTTGGAACGGGATCGGAAAAATTAGGCGCAACTTGTTAAATTGTGCGTGAAAAGTACAGAGATATCTTGAGACCTAAGAAAAACATGGAATAGCTTTTATCTCATTTTTGGAAAATAGGGAGATGCTCGCAACCAAGTCGTTCTACGAGAAACTGGAATTCTAAGTTAAAATCTAGGTTAATTATTATGCAACCACCCAAAAACGCTTAAATGAAACGTGCCCTGATATGTTTCCTGGAAAGTTAATACCTAGCCTCCTGTGTCAAAACAGCAAGCTGTTTGGGCTTCCTCGCAGTTCCAATTTCCTCTTTGGAATTGTGACGTAACGTCAATAGCGACCTAGAATCGAGGCATGCAGTGTAGTCTCCGATCACAACCCACATACCAGTGCATTCATCAGCTGTTCGGAGAACTGCATTATATGCGACAGAATTTCTGCAATATAAATTGCTGACTGAAAATATGGTATCGACTATACAATACTGAAACCCTGATAATGTATGAACCTTACTGCGAATGTCTTATGTGTTCTGCTGTTGTGTACCTTTATTAATGAATAAATGAATAGGGGAACCAGAAATCATTCTGACTGTAGGTGGCCTATCTACCATAACGAGAGTTACATTGGCCTCTTTTATTTTCTTTATGAGCCACCTGTTTTAGGCTGTAATTTTTATAACAAAAGTGAGGATGAATGTAATTTCGTCAAATAACAGCGGTAAAACTTCCAAATTGCGAATAGAGTTCCTTGAAAAGAATTTGGANCATTTGGAGACTCCAAGTGACCGAGGGTGTTCATTGTAAAGCTCTCCCTGAATCCATTTCACTCAAATACTTCCTCAAGGGATATTAGGGAATTCATTAAGTCAAATTCCTTTTCACTGTGAATATCTAAAGTTCTTTCCAGGGATTTTAAATATGAAAAGGGTCAAACACCAGAAAGTGTTTACTTGGGAAAATCCAAGTGGGTATTAAATTTTACGAGTAAGAACAAGTTCGAATGGGGTAGGCTAGATTTTATGGAATAATATTACGTACATAATTGTACGTAATATTATTCCATAAAATTTAATAATTTTGATATGCTCTATCTAGACTAGAGTTTAGAAGAGTCTAGCAGAACTCTCAATAGGTACATTATGACGTTTGCTTTAAAAGGTCAAAATAAGATTCTTTGAAGGATTTGATTTCAAGTTATTCATTGTTCGACTTTTCTATTATTTTCTTAGAATAGAAATCGGGTATTAGCTACTGACACCTTAAGACTGTTTATAGTTTTATTGCGAGTAAGTTTCTGACGTGAAAGATATAGATTCAATATTGAAGTTACAAACTTCTGAGCTCATGTGTGAAACTTGGCCCCAAGATATTTATGGCGATATGGAAGACAAAAACTTTGACAGCCTTATTACCGAAAATAGAAAAGTATTTTATTAACAAGCAAAAGCCAGAGGTTCTCTTTCAAAAAGTTTGGCGTTGGATTTTCAATTACTGTAATGTTAAACTTCTTTGCTC